CTGAAAACCCAGCAGCTCCTCATGTTCTTCCCACGCTTTTATTCTTCACCTGGAATCTGTAACTCTGCAATGAAACATTAGCCATCCTGCCACAGGTAGGAAAAACTGCAAAGTTAGATCTCTGGGGAAGAAAAAAAAATTGGGAAGAGAGGCATATGGATATTGCACCTGCTTTAAAGGAGCCTGAATTGAAAAACTTTTCATTCAGACCTCAAACGTATTGGTGGTGACCAGATATACTGGATTATCTCTACTTCCTGTTAAAAACAAATGTCCTTTGCTTATTGAAGGTACTGCATTAACATACTTTAATGGCAAGTGATGGAAAATGGCATCATTTTTGGTTGTATGGGTCTGTACCTACAAACAGACAAAATCCCAAACCTACTGATTACCGGGGATCTTGAAAAAAACACAATAATCATCATCCTAAGGATCCACATAAATGTAAATGCATTAGTGACCCTATACTGGGTTATATTGTTGCAGGGCCAAAAAATATAAGTGAGGGCAACATTCAATTCATTAAAGGACTTAGTGTAGTAGTGCCTTTGCTACTGAGTTAAACTGACTGCTTTCTTCTCTCACACTATCTAAGCAAGCATTTTCTAAAACTGAGAAGCATTTAGGACATTTAGAGGGAGGGATTTTATTTATAATGTTTATTGCATACTTATTCTGAAAGAAAATTTTTCTGGGATGTTCTAGAATGGAATCACATGAGATCTACCCATTGAATCCTTGAATCTTCCATGCCTTTTGAAACAAGGATTTGAAACTGCCTCTGTGTTGATCCTCTTTACTTTGAAAGTCACAGTCCCTATGTGCAGCTACAGGCTGAGCTGCAGTTCTCTGCCTCCTACTTGAATGTCCCTGTAGAAAGTGAGAGGGTTGATAGACAAGATAGTAGATGGCACTGCCGAAGATTCATTCTGGAGCCTTCCTCTAAACTCCTGAGGACCAAATATATAATTCTATATAATTGTTGCAAAATTAATCACACAAACAAATAAAAATTCCAGGTCTCTTTCTTAAATACGCTTCTACAAAAAAGAACCACCCCCTAAAAAAACAAACAAACAAACAAACAAACAAACAACAAACCATCAATAAAAAAAACAAACAAACAGTAAAGTATATTCTACAGCCAACATTATAAGAAATGTATTACTTCTCTTTTCCTAGGATGTTAAACTAAATAGCTGGAAGTACATGTAGTTTGAAGCCATATTTGGTAGTAGCAGAGGTGTAAACACGATACAGGACTGCTGCATTCAAAAATTTTGTTCTTAGTTGCAAATCACTGATGCTTCTGTATTAATGACTTTGAAGACTGCTGTTTGGAAGGATTATGTTGGGTTGAACCAGGATAGAGGTGATTTGAAAAATGCACCAAACATACATCTGGATTCTGCCAGCCTAATTTATTTTTGCATTGTTCTCTTGTATTGTACTTTCAAGATAACTAAGATTGACACTAAAATGCACATAAAAATGCTGGAAAAAAGTCTTTAGAGTGCTTTACACAGAATTGATTATACTGTAGTGCCAAAGATAAACTAAATCTTGAGCTATATCGCCTTTCTTATGTTAAGTGGGTAGAGAATTGAGCTTTACTAACTTGATCATGGGCCAGCATTGCTTTTTAAAGGCTTAGTAGTATGACGTTTTAATGAAAGATACAAAGAAGTTTGCTCTCCCAGAGCCTCAACCTTGGAGTAACAAAGGTCATTGCTAGTCACTTTATTAATCTGCGCAGTAGCAGTTTTCTACCAAGGCATGGTTCCAAAAAGAGGCTTCTGTTCAGCGTTTCACTTCAGGTCACCAGCCACTGTAGTGTAATCCATGAGGAGATTTATGGAGCTCAAAGTGGGACTCCTTAAAAAACAATGTTATCAGCAAGCAACTGAGTTAGCTAGGGGGAAATGCTGACGCTACAGAATTTCTTCTTTCTCTTGGACATGAAAGACTTACTCAGTGCAACTTTGAGGATTTACACTCCTGTCCTCTCCCTTGAAGGTCTCTTTTGCTTCAAAAGACTGCTAAAAAGTTATTCAGGATAGGGCTGGATCTACATATAAGGTGAAAGGGAGTTTCTTCTTGCAGTGCAAGACCCGGGTGCGAGTGCTACACTCTAGTGTGCTGATGGGCTTGCCTTCACCTCCATGAGACAGCACTTTGTTCTCAGAAAGTTGAGACATGGAATCCCTTCCTTCCTCTGCCTGAGGAGATCTACTTGTACATCTCTAACCTTGAGAAAACTGCTGTTCCTGTTAAACTGCTGCGTATGCTGGTCTCTTCTGCTTTTCTCTCATCCAGCACATCCTTAACTATGCCACAAAAAGAGGAATAACTTTTGCAGGGAGAATGGAAGAGTCTCAGCCACCACAGAAAGACCAGTACTCTGCTAGAATATGAGATATGGAGAAAACTATATCACTTCAAGAAGACAAAGGCATTGTATCTTTGTATACCATAACTACAGTTCCTGGGTAATGTGATGCTTAACATTTCAGTCTAGATTGCAGGATTCTGGCTATATAGGGCAACCCGTAAATGCCTCTGTAGCTCAGAGGAGACTTATGCACCCTGAAATAGGTCTAAGAAAAAGAAAAGGGGAAAAAAAAAGTAAACCAAAACCAAACAGAAGCCAGGCAAAATCTTAATTGCACAGGCCACTGCTCCTCTGTAGGGAAGGTGAGTACGCCGAGTCAAGTCTGAAAAAGCAGAAAGAGCCCTTAAAATCAGATTTGTGAGATGATCAGAGCTATGGTTTATTGAATAAACCTGAGCCAGTAAGGCTGAGGAGTAGGCAGTGCTGCTGATCTTGAAAGAGCCTGGATGTGAGATACATTTTACCTTGATCTGCCCACAGTGTCAGCATTGACTATTCTCCACTATACTGAGAAGCAGGACTTTAAATGTTTGGGGAGCTCCATCAAAGAAATCTTAGGCTTATTTAGATATCTCAGGAGTTAGATATCAGCAGAATGAGGATAGGTTATATTTTGAAATCACGTAGTTAATCTGGTTTAGACACCCTAGCTGTGTTTTTTGAACCAGTACAAACCTCAGACTCCATTTCTGTCTTAAAAGAGAGAGTGTACTCTAATTGCGTAAATATGAGATATCCAAACAGTATAAGGAAATAATGTGAAAAAATAAGCATCTTTTTATCCAGCTGAAAAATTCAAAACTGATCATGAATACTTCCCCACTGAAATAAGAAAAGCTTTTGCAGCTGCGCTAAGTTATGCCTGAGATAGCAATTTTCTGCATGCATTCTGGAAGCGATTACTATCTCAGTGATACCCCCAGCTGAGAAAAAAAAAAAAAAAAAGGTTAGTGGAGGAAGTGATGATGATGATGACAGTAGTGTTACCTCCAAACTCAACATGATGTTGACTTAGCATAGGTACAAAATAGGTAAAAGACATAATCCAAACATCTTTAATATTGCCCTTAGCTATTTACAAGTAGTAATCCACTTTTTAAGTAGCGAGCATGTACTTTGAAATTTACTGATGTTCTTTTCACTTATAATCATATTAAATATTCATGTGTGTATTACTTCCACATGCGATATCATATTATGATATCCATATCAATTGCTTTGTTGACAGGAGTTTGAATAGTACATGAGAACTGTTGGAGTCTGTTCTGCAACAGGAAGGTGGGACTCAGTAGACATAAAAGAGCTAGAAAACATCTGAAATCTTGCTCTGTAAATAACTTATGCGATGAGGAAGAAATTTTATTTCGGTAAACCTGTCTTGCAGTTGCAATGGAAAATACATTTTAACCTACTGAGCTGCATTTGTTCTCTGCCTGCTACAGTAGTTTCAGGGAAACTACACCTAACTTTCAATGCTGTGTAGTTCAGGTGGTGCCAGGACACTTGGTCTTTCTTACACTCTGCATTTTTCTGGAATTAGATAATGGAAAACAAGATATGGAAGTGAACTTACTGGCCCATCAGATAGTAGCAAGCAATCTATCAACCAATCCATTTTAATTCATTTGGTATGTTTTATAGCTCTACACACCAAACACTGAGGAAATCATAGAATCATAGAATAGTTAGGGTTGGAAAGGACCTTAAGATCATCTAGTTCCATGCCCCCTGCCGTGGGCAGGGACACCTCACATTAAACCATATCACCCAAAGCCTCGTCCAACCTCGTCTTGAATACTGCCAGGGATGGAGCATTCACAACCTCCCTGGGCAACCCATTCTAGTGGCTCACCACTCTAACAGTAAAGAACTTCCTCCTTATATCCAATCTAAACTTCCCCTGTTTAAGTTTGAACCCGTTACCCCTTGTCCTATCACTACAGTCCCTAATGAAGAGTCCCTCTCCAGCATCCCTATAGGCCCCCTTCAGATACTGGAAGGCTGCTATGAGGTCTCCACGCAGCCTTCTCTTCTCCAGGCTGAACAGCCCCAACTTTCTCAGCCTGTCTTCATATGGGAGGTGCTCCAGCCCCCTGATCATCCTTGTGACCCTCCTCTGGACTTGTTCCAACACTTCCATGTCCTTTTTATTTTCAATATGTCGTTTCCCATACATGCACAGCAGCAAACACACACTGACATTAAGTTTATAGCAATATTCATTTAAAGTCTCACCCTTCAGTAGAATAATAATCTGAAACCAGAAATGTGGGTAAATTCAGGTAGGAATAAAATCACAATTATAATTATGTGCATAGATAAGTGTATATGTGTGTGCGTGGCTATGTAAAACTCTGGTATGAGAATATTAGATGCATTTGAAAATGAGTTTGTTTGCAGAAAGAATGACATTATCTTTCTCAAAAGAGCAAGCTGACAGATTCTAATGGTCCCTTACATGCTGTCCATGATAAACATTCAGCTTATCTTTCCAAGAACAATAAAATTTCATGTATTGCTGCTTGACTTAAGAATTATTTTTACATATCTCCATGCCACTGACTCTCTTGTAAGTTAATCTCATCTCTCATCAATTTTTCACCAGCTTCACTCCGATGTTGATAAAGGAGATGGTTCCATCAAATACATCTTGTCAGGTGAAGGGGCAAGTTCCATTTTCATTATTGATGAGAACACGGGCGATATTCATGCTACAAAGAGGCTGGATCGAGAAGAGCAGGCCTACTATACTCTCCGAGCACAAGCACTAGACAGGCTTACTAATAAACCTGTGGAACCAGAATCTGAGTTCGTCATTAAGATTCAGGACATAAATGACAATGAGCCAAAATTTCTGGATGGCCCTTACACTGCTGGAGTTCCTGAGATGTCTCCTGTGGGTAAGTGCAAAATACACTGTTGGTACTGTGGGAAATGTTCCTATTGCCTTTTTAAAAATTTCATTTTCATTGTATCACACTAACCTAATTAATTATCTATGAGGCACCTGCAACAGTTAGATATTTCAAGGCTTAACTGGAAATAACATGCTAGATTAAGTATTTACCTTTCAAAAATGTTGTAAAACTCAAATAGATATGTAGGGATTCAGATAAGCATTTTATGATATTTTTCTCATTCTAGTGTCCAGAGGCTTTCTTTTATAATTCTCTTTAACAATAATAAGTTTCATACCTATGCTATGGTATTCAGAGGTGATAATATATTATTTTGTTCAGATAAAGTCCGTTTTCAACAAACTCTTCAAATTGCTGCTACTGCATAATTTTTTTGGTAAGTGTTGCATTTATCAGTAGCAGTTTACTATATATTTTTTCTAATACTGAAATTCAGCTCTCTGGGAAATACATGCAAGCAACGAGGACTGGGGTACTGCATGAGATATTTTCAAATTGCCAGTGAAATCAGAGAAGAATGTCTTTCAGACTCCGTCAGAAGAACTGCTAATTTTTCCTGAGTTTGAATTAAGGAAGAGTTTAAGCATCAAATCCACTATCTCCTCATTTAAAAGAGAACAAATGTTCATCAGTTGTCAGGTGCTGATTCAGAGTAGATAGGAGTTTGGCCTGGAGAGATTTTGGTAAATTTTACTTTAAATTATAAATGCAAGCATGAAGATAAAAAAGCACAACTTAATCTACTTCAGTGGAAACTGTTGCACGGGAAGTGTCACTGCAGCTTAAGAGAGTCATGCGTTTATTGAAAGTGTAATTCTTCTTGACTAATTTTAAACCATATCAAAATATGAACTCTTACAGTAAGACTGCCCATATATAATTTGCTCATTTCTAGATATTACTTCATGTGTTTTTGGACATTAAACAATGCCTCTAAATTAGATCTAGAGAGGCAAAGATAATATCCCCTCCCTAAGTGCCTTGCAGCAATCATTAGTCAACATTGCTTTTGCATTTGAAATTTAGTTTAGGAGCCAATAGGAGATAAGTAAAACACTGCTAATGAGTTTTCTCTTTATTTATTTTCCTAAGTAGTGACCATAGATACTATTTCTCGTTTGAAACTTTTTCATTGTTACTCAAACAGTATGCGGATGGCTAAAATGGTAATAATAGTTTTGGAAAGAAAAAGGGGCACCACAGCTTTTGAGGAGTGACAGGGAGGAGATGAAGTCATGATACATGAATAAGAACTTTTTTACTGCTGCACTTTGGAAAAAATAGATATAACCAGATAGTCTAAGACTGCAAAACCTAGATATTCAGTGCTTCAAAAATATGTTCTGTACAAAATATATGTATTTTTTTAATCTATGTTTTATTTTTAGAATTAGATCATTTAAGTGAGCTGAAGCATGCAGCAGTGATTAGATTTTTGCTCCCTTGTCTTGTGTCCTGAAAGCAATATCTCTAGATTTCCCTTTTGCATGAGTTACCTCTGCTTTGTCCTGTACTGGCATATTGACATATGGAAACTACTACAGAGATAAGAGGTTTACCTACACACACATGTAGGTGTGTGTACGTAGTACATACCTCTACCCCTCACCCATGCTCCATTTGTTCCAAAAATATATTGGAAATCAGTCTGTGGAGAGTGCATAGTGTACAGTGGAGAACATAAGGACTATTTTTCAAAATGAGCTGCTTTTGTATATTTTGTTGGATCTCTACCACATTAATGAGTGAAAGAAATTCTCTCCCATATGGACCATACACCACCAAAAATATATTCAACATAGGTGCAATACTATGCAAAATTTTTAACTGAGACTTGTGTACTCTCTTTAATTTGTGTCAAGTTAGGGTGGTTCCATTTTCATGAATTTCCTGAAACTGTACATTTTACATATCATCATGGTTAGTATCACACAACTGCCAAATACTGCATTATTACTGTATTAAGGGTTACCATGAAATGCATGTGTGATACTTGTCTAGTTACATCTATTCACTGTTCATACATATAACCCATTTTTAATTCATCACCCACAACATTAATGAAATATTAAGGAGAAACCAAGTACCTCCTATTTTGTTTAAAATTATATCCATGACAAGGATTTTTAATTGGATATTAAACAAAATGAAAGAGATCACAGGATTATAAATCCAAATTAACTATAAAGCTAGGAGAACTATAACCTTTAACCTAAAGGGTAACTATGAGAGTATACTGGTTCTGTATTTTATTTGACAAATATTTTAGGACATTATCTAAGGCTAATTGAAGTCAATCTTTTCTGTTATTTGAAATTACTTTGGCTCAGGTTCAAACTATATATGGGTCAGGCCCAATTATATTGATTATCCTGAACAGGGTAAATACCTTGATGGCTTGTAAATTCATTCATAACAAAAACCTCAAAGATATGGCTTATCTGAAAATCATGCGGGTTTTTTGTTGTTTTGTTGTTTGTTTTTTGTCTCTTAAAAAGTCTAGCAGTGTTATATTTCAAACAAAAATATTTAAAATTATAGCTTAAAGAGTATTAATAGTGTTCTTGTGAAGTTGAGACAAAAATAGCTGATGTGAGATACTGATCTGTTTAGCTTATAGTCAAGGGAACTGGGAACAAAAATTCCAGTACCCAACATAATTTTGGTTTTGTTTAAACTTCTCTACTCTTCAGACATATCAACTGCTTTGCAAAAAATATCTTTCTTGCCACATTTATTATTTCTGATAGAGATGGACAAAAATATTTTTTATTTTTATACCAAACTGGGAAGGTGAAATCTTGTTATCATGTTTAAATATTTGGTACAAGTGGGCAGTGTGTTTAGAGACACTGAATGAAGGGAGAGTGTCTCCAGATACAAGCCTCCTCTGCTTCACCTTATCTGACCTTGCTGCTGGGCTGGAACCAGTCTTGAGCTTTGCTCCCAAGTGAAGATTACCTAATGAGGCTGTGGGAGGACAGGGAGGTAGTGAAAACAATCGGATTTACCCCCAGGTGCTGTCTCTTCTTCACACTCCTGGAGGGGAAAGGCTGTAGAGGTATTGCTGCATCAGGTCTGGGTGAGGGCCAGTGGCAGAAGAAATACGAGAGCCAGGCTGGGCTGTTGCATGTAAGAATTCAGCAGGCATTATGGATAATTTGATAGTAAAAATGTTTAATATTTATAGTAGCAACTGACGTGATGCAGAAATGTGATGCCATCATGGAATGATCTTGTGCATTATGCATATTATGCATCATTAATTGACATCAGCCAATGCTTTTAATAACTGTTTTTAAAGGTCTGCTTTTAAGAACTGCTTTTAAAGGTCTATTTTTCAGTTGTTAATGTGTCTACAATTGACTTGATAAGGGTTTGCCCAGTTTCAAAAATAAGCATTTGTTAAGTTCTTCTAGTTTTAGAAACCAGTTTTGCCTTAAATGATTTCATCAATGTTAAAAACAGAGTCACATAAGCATTCTTTGGGCAAAGTAATTTTAAAAGTTTTCAAAATATCACACAAGGGACTAGCAAGGTTTTTAGTAAAAGCTCTGGGCAGAGGCTTCTAAAAGAATAAACTCAGAGATTTTGAGGACCTTAACCTCAAAATAAACTTTAGCACCCAGTTTATCTTACCCTAACACAAAAAAAGGATGGTGTCTTCAACTTGTTGTAAACACTGCTGAATTTAGACTTGGGTAAATTGAAGCACAAATACTGTTCTAAATTCACAGTCCTCTCTGCAAAAATTCCTCCCTTCTATTTGCCCTCATATCAGAACTTAAAGAGGTCAAGTTCTCAGATTGCTGCTATTTTGTGATATCCACTACAATCTAGTAAAGTTTAGATTAAAAATCTAAAAATGATAGCTTAAATATTCTGGAGGGAAAACAAAAACAAAGCAAAAATGAAAAACCAAAGCCCTCCTTCCCAAAACCAGAAATCTGTACCAGCTATACAAAATCCAGTGTGTTATTAGTTAGTATTGGTAAAGAAATATTCTGAACACCCTTTGGATAAACAACACTGATTTTCCTCAGTATTTGCTGCAATTGCTGAAAAAGTTCATGTTGTTGTTACGTGTAGAATTCTTTTTAATTAACTGATATTCAAGTTTGTTATAAAGACATAATTGTAGAGAAAAATAATTGCAAAGGAATTATTATCTGAGAGGGAAAGACATGTTTTCAGCAAATAGCCCCTATTTTTTTTTTTCAATCCATATCAGGTACACAAACTAAGAAATAATTAAAGTCTTAATTGTGAAGCTACAGGTTATAACAAGTCATTAATGAAAGTCTGGGGTAGGGATAGTGTCCTCTTTACACCTGCAGTCTAGGGCTCTGAACAACATCGCCATGAACAAGATTTACTGGGACACTCATTTAATTGGATGAAGTGAAGGTGTGGTGCTATTTGTTGGCTGTCTCAACAGCCCTAAAAAAAAACCAGCCCTTTTTTGCCCAAAAGACCTAATCTTGGACATATGTGTGGCAGCTGACCACCTGCATTATGAAGTAGGGCAAAATGTTCAGGAATAGAAAGACTTAATTTCAGTGCAGGAGCACAAACTCTCCCTTTGTAGTTGGAACTACGATGCAATTACCCATTTTTCCTCAATCTTTATATTTCTTGACTATCCACGAGTATCTCTACAGCACATGTGTTTATGTGTTTGGGTTTTTTTTTAAAAGAAAATAAACATATGAATTTGACATCCATCCGTTGCAAAAAAATATAGGACATCTCTGAATTGCAATAAACTTGAAGGAATACCTGCTCTTCAAGAGAAATATGCTTTCTCTGGGAAATTCTCTGGAAATCTTCACTTACTGATCTTTCCATGCATGATATTTCCTTGGAACTGATTTCCCATATGTAGGATTTATCACATAGTTAGCATACCTTATGTTAGCTTGCATATTCTTTTTAAAAAAATATATTGTGCAAAAATCTCCCTCTAGACACAGGACTTCTGGAAGCTCAATTTTTTTTTTTATGCAACTGGCAAAGAAACAATGACAATAGCAGATGTTTTAAAAGATTTTTCTCACATGATTAGCACAAAGGGACAAGAAAATTATCCTTGCTTTCAGTTGCTGATTATGCTGAAGCAGGATGAGTGCAGAAAGTTTTGGTGTTAGAATTTCTACCTTAAAAAAAACCACCTTTTCTAAAGGATCTATGTGCTTTAGGAGAGAGCCAATTAGATTCAGATACTGACTTTATTCATCTCACGGAATGTAGAGGGTTTGTTTGCTACATTAATAGATTTTTACAACAAACAAGCACTTCTAAGCTTGCAGGATTTCCAAAATGTCTCTGTTGAGGTTGCTGAATCTGTAATTTCTTTGATCTTGTATTGGTCTGGAGTCCTTGACAGCAGCAAGAGCAAGGAGCAAAGACGTAACAGTGTGTGAGGTTTATAAGCACTTTTGCCAATATTTGCAGACGTTGTAAGCTTCATTGGCAGGGCTTAGGGACTTTGTAAATGTGGTAAGCCTGGCTTACACAAAGAACACAGGATGTCAAATAATCATTATGATACCCTTGTACTCAAAAGCTGGAGAGACTCTGGCAAGTTTAAAATAGGTCCCTGTATGAAATTACATTATAGAGTGATCTGTAAAATCAGTTTGACATACTGAATCAAAGTTCTTAGTTACTGGTGAACAGAAAATTGATGTATTTGAAGTCCCATAACTGATAAATGACTTGATGGATTAACCACCAATTTTCTTTTTAAACTTTCCATCTACCTAATAGTTGCATGTGAAATTTCAGATTGAGAATAACCTTTTCTCTGTCCGAAAATATTAGACAGTCCACAAGAGAGAAAAATTGCATTAAAATAGATTTGCAATCATAATACTTTTTCATGGATACTTCAGGAAGAGACATCAGGAATGTGGGTTAGCTAGGCCATAGCTTAAGTGAATAAGGTTACCTTATGAATGATCACTTCTGGTCAGAATTCCTTCAAGCAGATCCCATCTTTAGTAATCTGTACCATTTTATGGGGGGCTGTACTCAGTCCTCTCCAAACCGTCAGCCTGGTCCCAGGACTCATTTGTGATCCTCTACTTAACTGAGAATTGTAAAGCTGAAGAAAATGGACAGAGGACATACTAGATTAGACAAAGAATTTCAGAACTTTGTCGCACCCATTTCCTGAAAAAGTCCAAATAAAACTGACCAGAATACAATTTCTGTTATGTTTACCCTGGACACCTGCTGTTGCAGTATGTTCTTAAAGAGTGATTTCTAGATTCTCTGGTCTCATTCTCGCGTGTCAAAAATGCGTTCATCCTGAAAATGAACACTCTACATTTAAATGAGCACTTAACAAATGCTTTTCTTTAATCTTTTGTCTAAATCCAGTTTATGAAGGGTCTGATCCTGTGCTGAAGACCTTTTCTGGGTGTTTGCCAAATTGCTACAATATTAATTTGCAACCTAGCCTCCAAATGGGTCCCTGGGCTGTTGAATGGAAGGTCTCAATGTTCCAGACAATCTGCCTGTGAGAAAAAATAGCTCTTTCTGGCTGCCAGAGGCTGATGACCATGGCCAAGGCCTCCCAAGTGTTTTATCATGTTCTCAGCATACGTCATAGAAGCTGTTGTAAAAACAAAACAAATAGGAACTGGGATTGAAAGTATAACGAATAGGATCTAGATACAGAATGAGATCTTCACAGAATATATCCTTCTTGATAGCCAGTTAGACATTTCACTTTCTTACACCTGTCAACATAGAGACATTTCTTGCTCAAGAAATGTTTATGCAGCAGATTAACTGAATTGATACTGAAGTATTGCAGATTACTGAAGAAAATAGGTACTTTTAAAAGGAATTTGGAGACATCTCTCACCACTTTTCCTCTGAGCTGACACAAAAATTCTTCAGCCACTTTTTCAAAAAAGGATAAATTTATAGGTTACAATTAATTATATGTATGTACAACTCCCAAAATATATAAACATATATATATGTATATTTGAATTTCTTAACTACTCATTACAGTTTTAGCATGCAGACTTCTCTTCAAAAGTAAGCTATTACTGTATTTCATACTTAAGCATACTTCAGGCATCACCATCATGTAAAGAATACTGTTCATATGCCCTCTACCAAACAAAGACAGAGATAGAGAGGGGGAGCTACTGTGTGAGATGTTTTTTATTGCTGTGAGCCAGAGGCAGAGAATGACAGAATGCTTCTACAGCTGGTACTACTGGTTTACAAAGAGGACCTTATATTATAAGCTGAATCAGCATGGAAATTATGAATAATTGTGAAAAACACCACCTCATACTGTTTCCGATATATATTGACACAGCATGTTGAACAAGTATAGTTCATATTTTTGGATCTTTTATGCACAATAGTCCCTTAAACATTTTGCAGGTACCTCTGTGGTTCAAGTGACGGCCACTGATGCAGATGATCCTACTTATGGCAATAGTGCTAGAGTGGTTTACAGCATATTGCAAGGACAACCTTACTTTTCTGTGGAGCCAAAAACAGGTAAATTTCCATAAGCTGTCTGCAATAATGCTGGGTGTGGGGGGACAAGGACTGGGAGGAAGTGCATTAAAACTTGCTAGGAATTTACTAATGTGGTCTTGTGGATAATTGAATAGATTTATACTTTTGTTGCTGTTTTCACCTTTTTCCAGAATAAATTATGAAATTGACACATCTGAGCTATGTGATGAGCAGACATTGATGGAATGGGAGCTTTTCTCATCTTGTCAATCTGCTAGCTCCATGTTCTGCCACTTGTTGCTTGTCTTTCTGATCAATAAAAATTTCAAGATACTATGAACAAGTTTTTTTGCAGATGTTTGTTTTAGAAATACCTAAATGTCACATAGTCAGATTTCCTTAAGTATAGATTTATCTCTCCATTCTACTTTTAAACTGAAGCTTTGTTGTGGGAAATATTTTTTTTCTTTATTAGTTTGAAAAAGAAATCATGAAACTTTCTCTCTTTATCTGATATAATATTTTGATGCCACTTTCAAAGCATATTGCTGGTGTGAGATTTTTTTCCTATTTTTAGTGAAATTTTAGGAATATTTTAAGGCACAACAAAATACAATCTTTACTCTTCTGACAGTTTAATAGCCATTACCCATTCTACTGTATCATTCCACAGAATAGAAAAATAGGTTCTCACTCTGCTCAGTGGAGTTCGGTGCCTGAGCCTTCACTTACACCATTATGGAGAAGATTTATACTTTTTATTTCAGAGAAAGACAAGCTGATCAAAAGAGAAACAAACTATTTACCCTATTTATCATAACCTGTGATGTGAATCAGACCTGAATCCCAATGCTACGACGAAAAGGCAAAGCTATTTAACATTTGAACTTGCAGATATAAGTAATATCATTATCTTCATATTGCAACAGCTCCACAATGATATGATAGTTTCTTCTAAGTTAAAATCTTTAATGGTTGAGACTGAAATGTTTGCACACATTTTCATTTTGATGTGATACTCAGATTTCCTGTGTGCATGATAATTAGCTTCCAAATCATTGGTTAACTCTGCCTGGCAATTTAACTATGATAGAAAAGCCAGCAGACCAGAAAAAGTGGTGTAGAAACAATAACAATATAAAATTGTATGTTAATTGCATTTTAACATCGCCTGTAAAATTGGTGAAATAGTGCCAAACAGCCTGTTTGTGAAAAAAACTTTTAAACGCAGAGATGATTAATGGCAAGTCCTGCATTCGTAAGGGAAGAAAGAAATAAAATTCTAACTAAACATTCAGCAGCTATCAGATGAAGAAATATGTGTCCCAATGCACTTCTCTTTTATTTAGTTTGTTTATATTTCCTTTGCTGCTGACACTCAGTGCTGGTGGAGTAAACGGTTGCCTCTCTGGAAATCAAAGTTAGTGGCTGTACTATGTACTGAGCATGAAATATTCATAAAGTCATCACATTTGAGAAGGCATATTTATTTTCTGATATATATATCAACAGAACTGAAAGGATAGAACGCAGAGTTTTCGTCTTGCTTTCATTTCAGATCAATTAACTACAAATTGTTTGCAGATCATCAAATGGACAAACAAAAGCTATTTCAGACATTACAGTATTTTGATTAATAAATACTAAAAAAATCTTAATTATACTAATGCTTTAGCAATGCATATTTTTAGAGCAAATATATGCTCCCAGTAAAATGAGATAATTACATGTGGAGTGTGGTATGATATCAAAATTATTAAGAGTTTATGTGGTGAATTGATTATTCAAGAGATTGTGAAATAAATTTTGACCTTGTAATCTTAAAAATGAATACAGAATATTCTTTTCCCTAGCTCTAAAAAAGTGTGAAATCAAACACAAAATATGACATCTTCCAGGGAAGGGGGTGTTACCCAAATTATTGCAAATTTTATAGTTATGGGAGAAGATATTTAGAAAGCAAAGTCATATATGGCATTACACAAATAAAGTTGTACTAAATAAAAACTGGGGGGTTTTGGTGACTAAAAATAAGTTCAGCTCCTAGTCAAAAACTGAAATATTAATGTTGAAATGAATTCATTGCAACTCTTGTTGCAATCATTGCTCTGCAGCTACCTTTTAAAGGCAAACCCAGCTTTCACAGTAACATATTTGCTTGTTCAACTACTGCCATGTCTTACTGCAGGCGTTATCAAGACTGCGCTTCCAAATATGGATAGAGAAGCCAAGGACCAATACCTACTAGTTATTCAAGCAAAGGACATGGTTGGGCAAAATGGTGGATTATCAGGGACCACATCTGTAACTGTCACTCTGACTGATGTTAACGACAACCCACCTCGCTTTCCAAGACGTAGGTTGCTTTGTAAAAATATGACTTGTAATATTATTTGTAAACATTGTTATTTTCTTTACATCATGCTAGTCCTAAAAAAAAGAGTTCTCAGCTTCCATGTGCAAGTACTTTGTGAATCACTGACAGCAAGGAATATTATTGTTGTTATCATTATCATTATCATTATTATCATTATCATTATCATTATCAATCATTATCATTATCATCATTACTGCTACTACACTGGAAGAATCTTTTTTCCTTACCTACTGCATTTCAGATCATTTAAAATGAAATGATGTATAGCAGGTATATTTATTAATGTATTTTACTTCCTCTCTACAAATAAAGACAAAAAAAGGATACACCTCAATAGATATGTAGCTCTTAACACTTAGACCTCAGAATGCATAATTCTTAACTTGGCTCTTAATTCTTCATGTTCCTTTGGCATTTTAATAGGATTTACCATTAGGGTGTTTCCCAAGATGTTAATTGCAGAAGAGCCAGAAAGTTATCTTCCTTCCATTTACTCTCTTTGACCAGGGTAATTCTCATCCTAAACAAAGAAACAAGCACGGTTATATGTTCAAAACCAAAAAGCTCAGTTTATTAAGATCATTGGGGTGCTTTCTTCTTAAATAAAAAAAGGTCTTGCTAAGTAGAATCAAAATAATGTGAATAATATATTCATGTCGTCCCCAGCCTCACCTCCATTGATATAAAAAAATAGATCTGTATGTAACAGATTATTTCAAGCCACAAACTGATTGAAATAGTAGACTAACTGAAGTTATTTTTGAAGGTGAGGGTGTTATTGGCTGCAGATTGCACTCATATACCCTTCTGATAGCATATATATAATTTTCTACTTAAATGAAAAACTGTAATTATCAAGAATGCAGATGATGTACTTACTGTTAAAGAAATTGATATATAACTATTTCTGGTCACATTCATATTGCAAACTGCCTAATCAAGATGCACAGCTATGAAATAATAAGAGTTTCTGCTGTTATTATTTTACTTACTTGCTTTGTTTCCCCTTTTATGGAAAAAAAAGTAAAACATTTTCTGTGTTGGAACTCTGTAGCAGGCATTCACCTCATGATTTGCACTTAAGTTTTGAATTATGTTTCTGCAACTTTGCCTTGTACTTTTCTCATCATAGGAAGAAATTCTGGCCATAGTAATTAGAGTCCATCATAAGGAAAACCTAGCAAAAAGAGCAATTCTATTTTAAACTGAAGAATATATTCTGGTAGTACAAGTAAATATTTAAGTGTTTTAAAAGAAGGTAAATTTTAACAAGGCTTTTTTTTGGTGTTTTGAGTTTTTTTTTTAATTTTTTAGCCTATAGTCACAGAATGCTCTAAATTCATTAATTTTTTTTTTTTTTTTTATTCCACAGGATCATATCAGTATAATGTCCCAGAGTCTTTGCCAGTGGCTTCTGTGGTGGCCAGAATAAAAGCTGCAGATGCAGATGTGGGACCTAATGCTGAAATGGAGTATAAGATTGTGGATGGTGATGGCTTGGGAGTATTTAAAATTTCTGTTGACAAAGACACTCAGGAGGGAATCATAACAATTCAGAAGGTAAGTCTGATTTTCCTCACTGATTTGATCTGTATTTGTATAATATAAGAGCAGGCAATAAGAGTACAAGCCTTTGTTTCTAAAAGCCTTGTCTGCTGTAAAAGTTTTCATTGGCATATTTCATCTGCATTTCTGTGAGTTTGTGATTTTTGAGCTTTTTAATGATTTACACTGAAAATTATTGTGCGTCTTTTTGTCAATAGCTGTATTTCTTTCTTGTTTGTTTGTTTTTTTAAAGCTCCTGCACAAACAAGTTAGGATGGGAAACAAAATTTTTGTCTCATTGTTCTGGTAACAAAGAGAAAATGTGAAAATATATCTTACAGTAAAATATGCAAGCTCCAAATGCAAAATAGAACCCAAACATAATTAAAACAAACAAAAAAATATATTTCGTTCATTGATACAGTTCTATTCAGAAGGCACATATTGCTAATGTTAAAATTACATATTGAATCATAGAATACTTAGGGTCAGAAAGGACCTTAAGATCATCAAGTTCCAACCCCCCTGCCACAGGCAGGGACACCTCACACTAAAACATGCCACCCAGCTTTGTCCAACCTGGCCTTGAGCACTGCCCAACCTCCCTGGGCAACCCATTCCAGTGCCTCACCACCCTAACAGAAAGAATTTCCTCCTTACATCCAATCTAAACTTCCCCTGTTTAAGTTTTAACCCATTACCTCTTGTTCTATCAGTACAGTCCCTAATAAACAATCCATCCCCAGCATCCTTATACCCCCCCCCCCCTCCCCAGGGTACTGGAAGGCTGCTATGAGGTCTCCACACAGCCTTCTCTTCTCCAGGCTGAACAGAACCAACTTCCTCAGCCTGTCTTCATACGGGAGGTGCTCCAGTCCCCTGATCATCCTCGTGGCCCTTCTCTGGACTTGTTCCAACAGTTCCATGTCCTTTTTATGTTAAGGTCACCAGAACTGCACACAATACACCACGTGAAGTCTCATGAAAGCAGAGTAGAGGGGTAGGATCACCTCCTTTGATGTGTTGGTCACTATCCTTTTGATGCAGCCCAGGATATGGTTGGCTTTCTGGGCTGCAAGCGCACACTGAAGCCGGCTCATGTTCATTTTCTCATCAACCAACACCCCCAAGTCCTTCTCTGCAGGGCTGCTCTGAATCTCTTCTCTGCGCAACCTGTAGCTGTGCCTGGGATTGCTCCGACCCAGGTGTGGGACCTTACTCTTGCCATGGTTAAACTTCATAAGGATGGCATCAGCCCACCTTACAAGCATGTCAAGGTCCCTCTGGATGACATTCCTTCCCTCCAGGTTATCAAGAGAACCACAGGGCTTGGTGTCATCGGCAAACTTGCTGAGGATGCACTCAATCCCTGCAGAGTTGGGCAATGGTTATCCCTGCATGATGATATGTGCTTGTTAGTAAATAATCAGGGAAATAATTAGATCTGTAGCCTCGAATCTGTCTAAACATTTTACTATCCTGCATATGATGTTCTGTACACCTCTGACTGAAGTTAACACCCTCCTTTTCATGACCCTGAAATCAGCTGAAGTATTGAGAAACAGCTCAGACTTGAAATGTATGCCCAAATTTTGTAATTCCTGTGTATATATATGTTCAGGTGACATGTCTGAGTACACATTAAGCAGTAAAATTCCAAAGCAAAAACTTCTGAAAGTGCACACTTTGGTTCTGAAAGGAGATGCATGCTTTAACTTTGCACACTTTTGCTGCAGCCGTACATAGAAATGAACATGCTAGGCTTGAACATTGCTGCCAGTACTCTGAGAAGATGAAGGCACTGCTCCATTCAGTTTTGTGCTGGATGTTGTGGAGAAAGTGTATCACTTGGTTATTGTAGTCCTACTACAGAAACTAAGGATTTTACATACTGTTTTTAGAAAGATAACCATTTTGAGATAACTTGAAAAGCTGGCTTCCTCACTAGAAACTAAGATATTCCTTTTTTTTTTTTTTAACACGTAAGGCGCATCAAGTAAAAAAAGAAAAATTCTGTAAAAAAATTTTAGAGAAGTGATATGTGAGTATTCAATGAGCAAAGCAGGACTTTTGTATGTTCCAGGTACATGGAATATGAAAGAAAATGCTAGGGATCAGCAAAAATTGCAAATAAATTATTTATCTATATAAATTCAGGGTAACAAACTTTTGTAAAAACAGAGAGATACAAAGAATCTTGATACTAGAAAATTATTGTGGGTTTGGGTATTTCCCAGCATTACTTATGTATAATAGACTTGAGTAATTCATATATTGTTTTGAAAGGTGGGAAATCAGTGAATGAGATATGGGTGTGTTTAATTTTTTATTTGGCTTGGGTTTTTTTCTATGCACATTTGAACACATTTATTCTCTGCACCCAATGACACAGAGATTTCAAAACATCAAAAGTCAGCAGAAAAAAATAATGGATTTACTCTAACAGTGATTTTCATCAAAATGCAGAGTGTATTCTTCCCTCATGTGTATCTCTTCTGCATTGCTAAATCCAGATATGTCTTTGGTTTACATGGTTTATTCAGGTTGGATTTTTCACTAAACGTTTTGAGAACAGTGCTATTTTTCAAATAGTAGTAGTAGTTCTCATCGTTTTATAGCCCTGGAAGGACTGAGGATTACATGCGCCCAAATATGCCTAGCACCCAATGTTAGTATATGCTAGCTATTAGACTAAGCCTCAGTTCAAGGTAACATTTTGACAATAGTACTCATAATAACTCTCTTGACAATACAGTATCAGATAAGGAATATTTTCTCTGTGTTTTCATCCACCTGCCTGGTCTTTATCCCTCCAAATAGAAAACAGTAGGATTGTACTACGTTATGCCCACAACTAAGGATCATGTATGTACCATTATACAATTTTTGCTGCTATGTGTTTTCTCACACACTCGTGACAACTTATTTGCTTTTGTGCTGGTTAAGATATTTGAATAAAAGTTTAATTAGATGTGAAATTCATGTATTCCAGCAAGTTTCTTAAGTACACCCCCCCCCCCCCCCCCAATTTTTCAAGATTTTCTTTGGACAAGGACTAAATTTTGTTTACGAATTTATGGCTTAAATAATAACAGGAGGTTAAATCTGGGTAGAACTGATTTTTTTGTGAGATCAATGAAGCTAGAATTTAATCATATGAAGGGAGCTAGTAAAACTCAGTATTTAACTGTTTACTTGGTTATTTGCACTAAAACATAAAGTCTACCATCTTCATCAATACATTAGCTAAATTCAAATGCAAAAAATTTTGTCCAACATGTATCTAGGATGGTATATAAAACTGCTTAAGTTGTTTTTAAGATGCCGCGCTCTGTTTCCAACCTGCAAAAGATATGAAAAATGCTAAAAGACAATCTTTTCCAGCAACTGATATAAACAAGTGAATGGGATCCATAAGTGCAGTTCAGAGCAGTATTTTCATCTTACAGGATGGGTGGGTCAGTGGTGGGAAAATGGGTGAGGATCTTTTCCTGTAACCTGCTATGCTCACACAATTTGTTGCCTAGTAGTTTAAGTCACTGTGAAAACCTTCCTTTTTTCTTTTTCTTTTCCAATTTTCTCTCTTAGTTAGTAATAATAATAGTAATAATACTATGTAAGAGAGAAGTTCTCACTTGTCAAGTGAAATAGAAAAAAAGCTCTTCCTTTATTTTTATCCTGTACAGAGCAGTCTAGAGATACCACCTCCTCAAACTTTGTGCTAGAGTTCTGATGTTGCAAATAGAGTTAGAGTTTGGCTATTCTCCACCCTATAGTCACACTCTCTGTAGTGAATTCCTAAGTAAAGCTAAATTAGATATGTAAGTTACTTTTAAGCAGGATTTAGGAAAACAACCATCTTAGGTGATCTTTCCAGAAAAAAAAGAAAAAGAATATTTTGTACTTTTGAAAAGGAATTGGGTATTTATATTTCTTAGAAGTATTCACACTGTGACTCAGTTCTCCATCTGTAAAGTAGGATCAATTCCTTCCTGTGGTTTCATTTGTAAAGTACATTCTGATATCAATGCTCTGTTAGTACGGGCTCCCACAATTTGCATAGGTGCACTTCACAGTGGTGAGAGCTTTTGGAAGAAAAATGTAATTTTTCTGAATATATTAAAGTTTTTAAAAATGTGCTGGATTTGTCTCTGTGGTGTCAGCCTTCAAACTGCAGAAATGTTTGTGGAAATGAATGTTGATTCAGTTATTTAATACAACAAATTCTGAAGTGTCTATGCAAACCTAAGTTTGTGCAATTTCAAAGTGAACTCATGTGGACTGTTCACGGAAACCTAATTGTAATAAACATGAATGAAATCCTGGCTTCACACTCTAAGCAAAATGCACATACAAGACCATATTGTCTGTAGTTTATAGCACAATTCCTAAAAATAATGTACAGAAATACGCCTTGTATAAGTACAGACCTCACTTTATTCACAAAGTTGCAGGCTATAGTTAGACTTCAGTAATAATAATAGTTTAGTAGAAAAAAATCTGAAGATAAAAACCTGATAGATGATCTGTATCCACCTACAACTTTATCAAATACTTGGTGCTTAAAGTAGTGATGCTGATTTAATAATAAAAAAGGCTGCAAAATCTATTTTTATTGGATGCATCATATATGACTTTTTGGAATGTTATGAGATCTGATTCGAACCATTTGGAAGTCTATGGAGAGATTGCAGTAGACTTAAGTGCAAAAAACAAGAAGCCTGAAGACTATAGAGAGAGGGTTGTCATGTCTTACTAGAGCTAGGGGCAAGCATTAAGAAGATTTTTCCCTGGTACAGTTCTTGCTCAATTTGGCTTAATTTTTTTTCCCCCTCAATGCACAGACCTACCACCAATATCAACAGCCAACTTGAATGTTAGAGGACAAGATGTGAAAATAGTGTTGCAATGTACTTTGTCATAGAAACTGACTGCTAAGAGATTGTTCTAAAACCTGGATTCATTCCAAGAGTAATATTAACAATTTTATAAAAATGAGAGGCTTATGCAAAAGCTTTTAAGTGAAAAAGCTATCCTTCTATTACAGTTAACATTTCACTTTTTTTTTTTTCAGTTAGAATTTTTTCTTTTAATTCTTTACTGAAGTTCACAATGTAAGAGCTTGAGGATTCCATGGTTCCTTTGAGGGATACTGTGCATTTGTTTGATGTACTGCAGTTTTCAATGTAAAACCTAAGATGGACTTAAAAATGGGATTTTCATCTCTGAAAAGTGCATTATCACGAAGTCACCATACGATAAAAGATAAACATTACAAAAAGATAGGCTTCCTGTGAACACTAACTTCATATCCAGCTCCTGTAGTATAGATGACTTATTTTCCTTCAGACAGGATAAAATTCTTACCCTTTAAAAGGAAAAAAAAGCAAAACCCAAACAAACCAAAACCAAAAAAAGGCCTCACAAACCTCCGTATGAGAGAAAGATGAATGGATCCTGCACAGAATCTAATCAGATAACATTAATGCACAGATATTAATGAAGCTGTCAAGCTCTATTCACTGTACTGAAGGACTGAAGCATACATTTTCCATTTAACCTTCAACACAAAGTGATTTGTAGTAGTCTGTTGACTTGGTATTCCATTATTGGAATCTTGTCCTTTTGTTATAGCAAGAAATAATGAAGATATGATCTAAAGGCCAGTTAAATAATACTGTCTATATAACAGACATTCGTGATAATTAGATAAGAAGAAACAAAAAAAGAGGAAATGTTCTCAGTTCATTTGTTCAGTCTTTCTTTAATATCCGTAATATGTAGTATCTTCATTATAATATCATTGAATTGTTAACACATTTCCACGAGGTCAAGAACTCTTGCATGCTAATTATATTTTAGAGGTTTTGTTTAATTTTCAAGATTATATTATGCGTCAAAGCCTGGTGCCTGTGTATTCACCACTGGATCTGAGGATGTACCTTATAGGACCAGACTGAGGATGATTGCAGAATTTTTAGAGATTGTCACAACCCACAGTAGATAAACTCTGTTACAAAGATCTAAAATAAAACAATAATATTGCATCTGTATAACACACTACATTTAATGTCTTAAAAACCTTCTGACAATCCATACTTCCCTCTTTTAGATGCCAGCTCTTTTCCACTGTATATGTTGATGTAATAGATTTTTTAAATTTATTTATTTTTAATTTTAAAAGAACCTTATAGCTTTTGGAAACTATCAATAACACTGGATACCAGCAGGTATCTAAAGTAATCCTAAGGCAGGATTCATGTCACTGAAAGCAGATGTTTATTTCTTCTACTTATTGAGACTTCCTTACCAGTGACTGGTGAAAAACAGGCATTTAAAAGTAGACATCTGATTTCTTCTCTACAAGAATTTTGCTATACTCATAGTAAGCACTATGTGGTGATTTTCTCAGATGTACATGGCTAAGTTAGAGAAGGTAAAAGTAACACTTAGTAAGCAAGCCTGCTCAGAATATGCATCTATATCATTACTTTTTCATCCTTCTCAATGAGGAAATACCTTTCTAATGAAAGTGAGCTTTGTGTATCCTCTGCTAGTCTAACACTCCTGTAATTCAGTCAAATAAAGAACGAATTATTTCTCCAAGAATGAAATTCTATACTTTAGAAGTGTGTCAGCCCTTGTGATAAACATTCACATGGAAAGCATATTTTTATAATTTCAAAAATTAGAGGTCTAATTTAGTCTTTAATCAATAAACATGGGGATATCTTAAAAATTAATTTAAATAATATTTTGTTATTATAGTCTTTAGTCTATTAAAATTAAAATTTATGTAATTTGTCCAATCACATAGACCATGCTCTACACACTTTCTTTATTAAATCAGAATTATTATAATATCTTTTCTTAAGATGACTGTGGTGTTGTAATTAGCGTATCTCGAGGATATCTTGTCTTCAGTCTCATAATATATATTATAGAATCATAGAATGGTTTGGGTTGGAAGGGACCTTAAAGATCATCTGCTTCGAACCCCACTGCCATGGGCAAGGACACCTTCCACTAGACCAAAAAGCCCATCAAACCTGGCTTTGAACACAGCCAGTGATGGGGCATCCACAGCTTTTCTGGGCAACCTGCTCCACCCTCATAGTAAAGAATTTCTTCCTAACTAATATTCTTCTGAATGTTTAATCTAATCTCTAAATCTCTTTCAATTTACAGCTATTCCCCCTTGTATTTACAAGGGCCCTACATGCTTCTGTAAGAATTGCCTCTCCAGGTTACTTGTGGGCCCCTTTTAGGTATTGGAAGACTGTTACAAGGTCTCCCCAGAGCCTTCTCTTCCCTAGGCTGATATTTTAATGTATTTGATTGCTGTAATCTCAGTCATTCAATTTCAACAGATGTCACTGATTAATGCAAATGAATTAACCTCCCCTTTTCCACTACATATGTTTGTACTGTCTGATTGAAAATATAGTTCACTAGAAGCTTGGGTTTTGGTTGTTTGGTTGGGTTTTTTTTAGAACAACAAATCTCAGTCTTTTGTCTTTGACATTCTTCAGGTTATAAATTCTTCAGTTAATATGATGCTTTTACTAGAAAATGTGAAGACTTTAAGATATGTGTGCTTGATTGTCTTCTCCTTAACCTTGCTTCTCATCTGGTCATATCAGTTTCTTAAGTATTACCATCATACAATATAGTTTCTGAGGCACTTTTCATCATCCTGTCACCACATTACGTTTGCATTATGCCTTTGAGGTTAGTTTCCTAGCACAAATATTGTATTTTAGGTATAAAACCAAGATTAAATTAAAAAAAAAAAATCCAGCTATGCTTTAGTAATAAATACTGACCAGTTGTATCCAGTATAGTGACCAGTATCCAGAAAACCTTTCTTTTATGGCATATCTGTGTTTGGAGAACTATACGTACTACAGCTCTGATTCAATCCAAGAGTTTGCATAACATGAGAATCACATGTATTCCCATTTGGAGAAACCTTTTGTTGCTACATAGAGGTTATAAAATTTCAGTGCCTTTGTGATGTGTTGGATTACATTTTTCATTTTTAAATCTAGACTTTTTGCAACAGTATTGTAACACCAGCATAATTGCTTACTTTAAGTTACTCATTTGGGATTTATGCTACTGAAACTCAATGAAGAACTTAGAGCCTTGCACTTGTAGGTCAACAGATGTGTGTTTCACCTCTGCTGCTCCTCTGAGTGAATACAGTGACATTTTGCAGATGATGTCAGATTATTTTGCAAACACATTTTAGATCCCTATGATGCATTCAGAATCAGAACTGTGGAAAACCTTTTTTAATCTGTTTTATGCACTTGGAATTCTAGTTTTTAAAAAATAGTTGAGTAACCAGACTGCAGTTTTTTAGAAATGCTTGGGTGTTTTGTTGTTGTACTTAATCATTAAACTTGGAATTTCAAAAGAATAGCTGGGCATTTGGTGTGAGTGGACAAACTAAGACTATAGATATAAGGAAAATGGTGCTAACATTAATGTGAGGCTTTCATTTGATAACCGCCTGCAAAGTAAGATACTTTTTTGCCTCCAAAATAATTTTCTTTATGGGACTCTTCTCCAGACAACAAATATACCATTAGTTGGGGGTGGTAATTTTTAATTCCAATTCAGTATTTATTTAAACAAACCCTGTACTTATCAAAGAAAATTAAAGCAGAATGAAGGTGAAAGAAAAACAATGTGCATTTTAATTAATAAGAAAAATAAACAAAAACAATCTCAAGGCTGCATCTCGGTACAAAATATTCTCATACAAACAATGCAGTTTAACTGACTGCCGCATTTTCTTCACAAATTCATACAGAGATTAAAGTCAATCCCAATGCTCTGCAAAAAAAGCCCCCAACAAAAAGAACAACCCACCCACAAATTTCTGAATGAGGTGTTTTCACTAGTGAATTTTATAGAGTTGTTATGTTTGGGTAGTATAGTATAAAGTATATGACATTACCTTAGATAAAATGTGAATAAGACAAAAAGAAGTATTGATTCACAGTTATGAACTAATGGGGGAGAATGTGGTCCTCACAGAAAGTTTTGCCATTTCATTCACATGGTAGAAATACTTTTATCATTAAAGTCATTGGGTAGTACTCACTAGCAAGACACTGCAAATAGTGTTTTGACAAAGCTAAAAACTGAGCCATCAGCTATGCTCTGCCAATCAAAAGAGGAGGTTGGATGCAAGTGGCAACGTTCATTTTGTATTTATTGATAGCTTTAAGTGAAAGTTTTATGTCAACATCACAGGATAATAAAATTTCCAAATAACTTCACCTGTACAGGAGCTGGATTTTGAAGCTAAGACAAGCTATACGCTGAGGATAGAAGCAGCAAATATGCATATTGACCCTCGCTTCCTGAGTCTGGGACCCTTCAGTGACATGACAACAGTGAAGATTATTGTAGAAGATGTTGATGAGCCGCCTGTGTTTACTTCACGTTTGTACTCCATGGTGGTGTCTGAAGCAGCAAAGGTGGGCACTATCATTGGAACTGTAGCGGCCCATGATCCAGATGCCTCAAATAGCCCTGTCAGGTAATTATGTCTTAACTATTTATTCATTTAACCATTGAAGTCATTCATTTTGATGTGAGAAAGTCTTTAATTACAATGAAAACAATTATTATTTTTTTTTCCCTCGCAAAAGAAGATTGAGATGTTCTAAGAGTTTATTTTTACTTTTGTATGCTTGAACTACACAATCTCTGAGAAAAGAATATATTTTAATCTCTATAAAACAAAGAAGTGAAGATATAGTTTCAGGATTACAAACGAAAAATCCTCAACATATTACTCATATCTATTTCTCTGTAAATTTACAGAGTCTTTTATTATTTAGAACAATTATGTTCTCTTAAATCAACATAGACAAAAAACCCCAAACAAACAAAGCCGCCATATATGTGTGTGTATGTGTGTGTGTAATATAATTGCACATAGAGTCCTCCATGGTAAACCAGAGACAAGGTCCCACAGTAAAACATTAGGAAAAAACTCTTATTGTGAGAGAAATGGATAGGATAAGACATGTCCTGTCCTAGTCTGAGTGGTTAAATGGAATTATCTTTTGATTTTTGCAAATTTTGCTGCAGACAAATGCTGAATACTAGAGATGTGTGAAAACTGTCAAGGGTTTCTTCCTTTGCTTACAGTCTGTAAAGTACGTACACATCTTCCACAGTATAATGTCCAGGTTCATAAAGAAACCATAAGAAAACACAAATTATCAGTCTCATGTTTGTCTGCATCTAAGGTCAAAGATCAGGAACAAAGACTCACCACTTGAGTTAAACCAATAGAGTTACTTAGAGCTTTTCTTATGGAGAATAGTGATAATAATTGTCAAAGGAACATGCAGAGGATCTAAAGGGTAATACTTCTGACTCAGGAATTTTGAGAACTTAATAACCTGTATGAGAAGGAACACATTCACAATTGGAAGTTAGTACCAAGTTTCATTCATTATTATTGTTCATTTAAGGCATACGTAGAAAACAGGTACAAGCCTCATTTAGAGATCACCTTTTTTGTGATGCTGGATTTTTACTTTCATGCATTGAGGATGATATTGGAACTGTAGTGTATCTCTGTAATTTCTAAAGCAGCCATCTCAAATTGAAAAAATAAAGCACTCTGTTTCACCCTTAGAGGTGACATAAGTATTATCTCTCTCTTTCATTATATATTTGCAACATATTCAAAATAACTGATTCCTATCATTCATAAACAAGTCCTAGATGGATGGTTGGCATGTATTTACTCGTGAAATTTATCTTTGCTGAGATTTTTCTTTCCTGTGGCAGTGTTTTCTGGCACTGATGTTAGCATCTGTTGCACAATATCTGGTTTAGAGGAATCATGTAGGGTGGGATTAAATGCAGTTCCATAAATGCAGTCCATACTCAGAATTTCTTTGAATTCTATGCAGACATAAGCATGACTTTGATTTGATCAGATTACTTTTAGAATTCCAACATGAAAACTAGCTATATCACCAGCTTAACTAACATCCTGGAGAATTCTTCTGCTTCAAAGTCATATGGAATTTGAGAAGGAAGAAAAAAAAAAATAGTGCAAGTTTATCTATACACTTGTGAACCTGCAATGTACCTTGTCAGTGGTACTGCCAGCTCATATGATATAAAGCTGTCCTGCATCTGCTATGATATACATCAGAGCCAGATTCACCTAAAATTAGAATGTGTTAAGGAGGATTAATGCATAATACTTTTCATGATCTATTTAAGAAGTTTAAATTGTTAATCTACAAATAAGTATTCCAAATTCCAAACACTGGATTATATTGATTAAAATTAGATTTGATACAGTTCAAAAAATGTCAAAGTTACAAGATCAGAAACAATTAAAACCTTGACAATACTGGGTGGGAGGAGGGGGAAGCAATAAATATTTTGAAAATAAGAGGTTATCATGTGAGGACCAAAGAATTATTTATGTTCGAGCTAGCATAAATAAAGGATTTAAAACTCCTGCAGCTCAAAGATTTTTAAGTCTTAATGGCTGCAAGGAATTAAAGGATTAAAAGTATTTAAAATATATATATATTTTGAATTTGAATATGGATACGATACTTATAAATAAATTAAAGGAAACTGCTTGCTTCCTGTGTATAAATTTTTTTTTCTTGTTTCATAAGAATCTATAATCTAACTTGCATAACTTGTTTGTTTCCCTTCCTTCCTTCCCTCCCTCCCTCCCTCCCTCCTTCCTTCCTTCCTTCCTTCCTTCTTTCCTTCTTTCCTTCCTTCCCCCCTCTCCCTCCCTCCCTCCCTCTTTTCCTCCCATCCTTTCATCCTTTCTTTCTGACTCCCTCTGTCCTGCTTGTCTCTCTGCCTGACTCCCTCCCTGCCTTTTTTCTTGCCTCCCTCACTCCCTCTCTCTCTTCCTCTTTTCTGCCTTTTTTTATTATTTATTGATTTTTTTTTTTCCTATCTTTCTCGCCTTTCTTTTATTCTTTAGTCTCTTGCTCTTTCTTACTATTTTTTTAAAGAAAGGTCTTTGGTTCTTCAAATTGCATAGTTATAATGTTAATGGTTAGGAAATCTGAGGGCTGTCAGGAGACTGAATCCCAGCTACAGGGCCTGCCATGACTGACTATATAGCAGAGGTCTCATGGGAAACTTGCCATGGACAAAACAGCTGAAGAGCACTGCTGACTAGATAGACAATAGTGCTAGCATGAAATAAAGTCAAAAATAAACTACAGTTAAAATAAAATAAATCTATGTTGTGGTTTAAGCCCAGCTGGTAACTCAGAACCATGCAGCCGCTTGCTCGCTCCCCCCCTTCATCTTCCCCTGCTCCTGGAGGGATGGGGATGAGAATTGAAAGAATGTAACTCCCACGGGTTGAGATAAGAACAGTCCAGTAACTAAGGTATAACACAAACCACTGCTGCTACCACCAATAATAATAATGATAAGGAAAATAACAAGAGAAGAGAATACAACTGCTCACCACCCACCAACTGATACCCAGCCCTACCTGAGCAGTGATCTAACCCTTCCGGGTAACTACCCCCAGTTTATATAGGGTGCATGACATGCTGTGGTATGGAATACCTCTTTGGCTGGTTTGGATCAGGTGTCCTGTCTGCTTCCTCCCAGCTTCCCCTCCTCCCTGTCAGAGCATGAGACTCAGAAAGTTCTTGGTCAGAGTAAACATTACTTAGCAACAACTAAAAACATCAGTGTTATCAGCATTGTTCCCAGGCTGAAAGGCAAAAACAGCACTGCAGCAGCTACTAAGAAGGAGAAAAATGACTGCTACTGCTGAACCCAGGGCAAAGCCTGAATACATGAAAATTGATGCTGCTATTGTTGTGGCTTTTTATTTTGTTCTCTCTCTTCATTCTCTTCTTGGGACATAATATGGCAAAACAGTTCTAATTATGTAGCAAGCCTCTGCTCTAAGATTTTGCAGCCAAGAGAGATAGATAAAAACACAGTAACAGAACAAAATAGGAGTTTATATATTACAACAGAGAACAAACAAACAGTGTCAGAAGATCATTATATCTGGGGAGTCCCATTTTTGAACTGCCAGAGAGGGACTGCATGCAGGAGAGGGACTCTTCATCAGGGACTGTAGTGGCATGACAAGGGGTAATGGGTTCAAATTAAGCCAGGGGAAGTTCAGATTAGGTATAGGGAAAAAGTTCTTTACTGTGATGGTGGTGAGGCACTGGAACAGGTTGCCCAAAGAAGTGATAAATGTTCCATCCCTGACAGTGTTCAGGTCCAGGGTGGATACAGCTTCAAGCAACCTTGTCTAGTGGGAGGTGTCCCTGACAATGGCAGGGAAATTGAAACGATCATAAGGTAATTTCCAACCCTAACCATTCTATGATTCTACGATTCTATGATTCTGTGAAACTATCTTCCATAATTCTTTCCTTCTACCTTGTTCAGATTATTTGGTTAAAGTTTTATCAGTAATCTATCATCAGTATGACAGTAGTTGCAATGATCTCACTTGGTCTGATTGAGACATTTTAATTCACCTTGTGTGTAGGGAAGAGCTCTGCAGTACATGCTTGATCTAAATGAGAGTGTGAGAATCTGACCCAATATTAGATTAAATATCAAGAATATTCCAGTTGTAAATCTAAATCTGCCTAATCAACTGTCCCTTTCTCTCAAAAGGGTTATAAGCAAAACACCCACAGAAATTTTGACCTTTTCCCCTATGCTATTTTCTGTTTGCTAAGGAGCTCATTTCCCCTTCCTAAAGCAAATTTGGAGGAAAAGATATGTTAAGCCAAAGAGGTAAGGGCATAAGCCTGTGTTTGTCTAATGAAAGTAAATCACCAAGAGCTGACAGTGATGAGAAATAATCTCTTGACCTACTCTGCATCATCTCTCTCTTTCCTGTTTTCTCTCTTTCTTCCTCTTTTTTATCATCCACTTTGGCTGACTCAGGACCTCTTCTGTTCACACGAGGAAGGACTGTACACAGACTGACAGCCCCCATAGGAGCAATGCCAGGATGGTACAGCCATGTAGCAAACTTCCATCTCTCCTTCTCCTTTTCTGGGGCTCGGGAGGGTGCTATTCCATGACTAAATGAAAATTTGCCTTACAGCAGAGAGGAAGAAAGAAAAGAGAGGGGAATACCTATAACCTCAGTTAAAGAGGACACTATAACTGCACAGGTCATTGTGTAATTCTCTCACCTATGCATACTCTCAACACCCCAGAGAAAGTGTGTAGATCAATACCCAAAATAGTGAAAGAGTGGAGAACCTTTCTCACTATTATTTTTTTCATTTTTACAAGTTGTACCTAAACATAAATCAGAAGTTTTCTTTCATTCTTCACATAGGTACTCGATAGACCGAAACACAGACCTGGAGAGGTATTTCAATATTGATGCCAACAGTGGAGTCATTACAACTGCCAAATCTTTGGACAGGGAAACTAATGCTGTTCATAATATCACGGTTTTGGCCATGGAGAGTCGTAAGTAGCAATTTAAATATTTTATTGGATGTTTATGTGTAAAACTTCAGGCTTAGCTGTGATCAGCAGCACTCTAAGAAAAATTATGACAGGTTAATAGCATGGCAAATAAAAATAAGTTCTTAGTGTAAAAGACTGTGATAAAAATTAGAAACACAACAGATAAAGTATTTGCTCTTTAATTCTCCTCACACCTTCATAGTCTTTAGTCTTCTGAAAAATAAGAACAAAAAAGGGTGAGATATGTTAAGTCAACAGTCTCAGACCAAGCATCATTAGAGGAAAAGTGACACAGAATACAGAGGAGACCAATTAACCCATTTTAATGATGACACTCAGAGTTGGTTGCTGTTGGTCAACAACAGCATTCCTAAAAGGCATGAAAGAAAGGGATATGGCTGCTTGTGTGGTTTAACTTTCCTAAGGTAAGACTGTAGATATATTGTACTTGGTATCTTTTCTCTTGTAAAATGAAAAGTATTGAAGAATCAAACCACTGAAAAACATAAAATGAGAATTCTATTAATGCAAGTTTAAACCTAAACTTGCTTAGCTGTGAATACATTCTGTAAAAAAATATCTATTTTTGCCTTTATATTCAAAGAAATTGTTTCTTCAGATTTCATCCTTATTATTACTCTGTTGGGCTGTGATAGGAAGAGTTATCCGTTCTCTAGCATGCTATTTTAAAAATCCTCACTTTTTGCTTGTGCTGAGGTTAATTTAGTTTTTAATCTGAAAGCTAACTTTTACATTTGGTGTCTGTGCGAATTTATCTTGTATTCTCAGGAGAGAATTTTGGTCTAGGAGGCAAGCATGGGAACCAAAAATTTTCCTGGGTAATAACAAAACTAACAAGGCAGCCAAGTGACACAAGTGAGAGTCTAGGAGCACAAGTAATACCCTACAACGCTTTAATTTATGTTTATGGCCTGCTTGGCTTTCAATAAGCTTAAATCAGCAGAAGAAAAAGTTGCTGGTGGAATTTGTTACTCCTCTGGTATTTCAGATGTGGGAAAAAAAAAAACAAAACAACAAAATAAATTCCATTTTGTGATCTATGCTTGGATGCACTGGTTTAAATACTTACTAAATACTTACTAAAATGTGGTTGTAATACCCTATAAAAAGATAGATACATTTATGAAGGTTTGTATAGTTTTTCATTCTGCCCTGCTGTATCACTAATATTACCACTTGTGGTAAAAAAATAATACAATATCTTTTTTTCTGCTCAAAAACAGAGGTGTTATCTAGAAAATTTAAGTAAAGCACACACTGATGTCCTTTATACGTAGTCAAAAAATATTTACTGTTTAAGATTAAATTATGACATTGAACCCTGAACAGATTTGTATATTAGCTAAAGGTGTGCATCAGTTTAAGAATGTGGTTAATATTTAAGGTGTTCAATGTGTTAATGACAGTGTTGAAATACTTAGTTCTGTGTGACTTTAAATACTTTGGGATTTGCTTGGGTGTATAGTTTTCTCTTTTTTTCTGTTACACATAGCTGATGGAATTCTGGTTTTAACTTGTTAATATACTGATTGAAGTTGCAACAACAATGTATTTAACCCATAATAACCATGCTATTCCCAATATTCAGAGCACTGTTCGGGATAGCTATACCCTTTGGCAATGGTTTTACACCATCTTGCTTTTATCTTTCCACATGATGTGTTTCAGTGATGTAGATTTTCAGTTCATCCCTGAGACTAAAATCTTAGTTTAATTGAGGAAGCTGGAAAACATAAATATTGTTTCCACCAGGTACAGAAGATCAAACCAAGACTTTCTTTGTCTTTCTAGGAGGCATTGTATTTGATTTGACACGTATATGCAAAAGAAGAATGCAAATGAGAATGTGCTGACCCAAAGAATAATTTGCAAGAAGATTTTCTTGATTGTTTTATTGCCTTCTTTCTCCATAGAGAATCCAGCACAGATTGGGAGAGGCTATGTAGCCATAACTATCCTTGACATCAATGACAATGCCCCTGAGTTTGCCATGGAGTATGAGACAACTGTCTGTGAAAATGCTCAAGCTGGTCAGGTATGACTTGATAATTTTTAATGTTTATTTTTAGCAGATAGGCAGCTATACATTGTGAATGCCTTCAAGATGAAATAGAATCGTCTTATGGCAGTAAAAATGATGCTTTGATGAGCAGCACAAGCAATATTAATCAAACCATGCCATCTAGAGGGACCTCGACATGCTTGTGAGGTGGGCTGATGCTAACCTCATGAAGTTTAACCATGACAAATACAAGGTCGTACACCTGGGTCAGAGCAATCCTAGGCACAACTACAGGTTGGGCAGAGAAGTGATTCAGAGCAGCCCTGTGGAGAAGGACTTGGGGGTGCTGGTCGATGAGAAAATGAGCATGAGTCGGCAGTGTGAGCTTGCAGCCTAGAAAGCCAACCGTATCCCGGGCTGCATTAAAAGGAGTGTGACCAGCAGGTCAAAGGAGGTGATCCTGCCCCTCTACTCTGCTCTCATGAGACCTCACTTGGAGTATTGTGTACAGTTCTGGTGTCCTCAACATAAAAAGGACATGGAACTGTTGGAACAAGTCCAGAGAAGGGCCACAAGGATGATCAGGGGACTGGAGCACCTCCCATATGAAGACAGGCTGAGAAAGTTGGGGCTGTTCAGCCTGGAGAAGAGAAGGCTGCGTGGAGACCTCATAGCAGCCCTCCAGTATCTGAAGGGGGCCTATAGGGATGCTGGAGAGGGACTCTTCATTAGGGACTGTAGTGACAGAACAAGGGGTAACAGGTTAAAATTTAAACAGGGGGAGTTTAGATTGTATATAAGGAAGAAATTCTTTCTTGTTAGGGTGGTGAGGCACTGGAATGGGTTGGCCAGGGAAACTGAATGCTCCAACCCTGGCAGTGTTCAAGGCCAAGTTGGTTGAAGCCTTGGGTGAGATGATTTAGTGTGAGGTGTCCCTGCCCACGGCAGGGGGGTTGGAACTAGATGATCTTAAGGTCCTTTCCAACCCTAACCATTCTATGATTCTATCTTCACCATACCTCTGAAGAGAAAGACTCAGGCATAAAAATTGTTAGTTTAAGGGACTGATGAAACATCTGGGTTTTTTACTGATCTAACTGACACATTTTGCAAGACTCACCTAATTTTAAAAACTATTAAGAATGCATACTTCCTCCTAATTTTACTGGGAAGTGGAAAGTCATGACATGGAGGTTTTTCTCAGACAAAAGGCCTATAATTTCTAAAAAGTGTACTTATTTTTATTTCCCTTGAGAAGTATGGTCCATAAGTCCATAATTTCATAAGGGAGATATATTCTTACCATATTCCTCAGTGCCTTTAACTCCCTTAATGTTTTTCAAATAGTCCTAGACTCAACTAAAACTACCTGGTATTGTTTATCCTAGGTATGTCTTATATTTGGACTTTTCCCTTCTACTTTGTAAGAACTCAGAAAATAAATATATTATCTCATTCTCTATTCTTTCTCCCAGAAAACTAGTGAATGATTCACCTACGTTGATCCCACATATTCCCTGGGAGACTTTGCACTTTTGTTTCTCCCTGAATATTGCCCTATTTATGGCAGGTGATGTTATTGCACATTTCAATTTCACAGCATAAATTTGATCCTTAAAAGAAAACACTATGATTATTGTTTTGTGCTCATGAGAAACACAGAATATGTGTGTTCTCATTGAACTATTATTTTTGGTTCTCCTGGGATCTAGTCTGAATATTCTGAATATCTGTGAATATTCATTTTTTATGGATTGTAAACAACGGTGAAACTCTTTTTTAGGGGCAGATTTTGACTGAATTTTAGAAAATAAAATTGGAAAAAAAAATCCAGTAATTATTAATATAGTAATGACTTGGCTTTTTATTTTTCATATTAAAATAAAAAAAAGTGCATGAATTAAAATACCCAAAGGGATATTTGCTTCCTTGTGAAAGTTTACAGCATGGATTTCAGTCATTGATAACTACATAAAGGTCCATGCACTTCTACTGCCAAGCAGTTTATACTCCAAGGTCTGTTGAATGACAGGACCTAAAACTTTCTCATAGTGGCTGCAAATCCTTGCTTTTGGACAATATATTTGGTACAGGAAAAGTAAAGAGTCATGTCACTGTTTTTGGTTTTATAGTGTCTACACATGCTTAGGAGATTAGAAAGAAAAAATGCAATATGGGTAAGACTCAAGGAAGGATTGATACTTTAATAAGTATTAGAGGAATTATACAGTGTATGTGCATTTGTTTCTTACCATTCCAAACAATGAACCCTGATGTACCTCAAAACAGGTGATCCAGAAAATCAGTGCAATTGATAAAGATGATCCACCGAATGGCCATCAGTTCTACTTCAGTTTAACAGCAGAGGCAGCAAATAACCACAATTTTACACTGCAAGACAACAAAGGTAAAGGCATTTTTGGGGAGTAAATATTCACCACTAACACCTTCCAGTCTGAATATATTGTGCTGATTATTACCTACATAAACCTCTATTCTGGTAAGGAAGCAAACTGAACTACAATCAGCCTACAAAATAGACTATCTATAGAGTTGTAAAGGAAATTAAGTTGTTATTTGAATTATTTAAAACCTTGAGCCAAACAAAGTAGCTTCAAATATATATATATATACTTTTATTTCCAGAAGTCACTCTTCTTATATTTTTTCCTTGTATTTATAGATTTTTATCTAAATTAGAGTTAACCTTGGGGTCGCGAATGAAAAATGTCCAGGAATTTGTTTTATTAATATAACTTAGTGCATAAAGAACAAGTGTTGCTTTTCTGGTTTTGTGTTTGTATGGGGTTTTGTGTTTTTTTGATTTTTTTTTGATTTTTTTTTTTTTTTAGAAAACCAAATATTTTCATTAAGTATACCACCTATTGAAGAATCTTTTTGATAATGGAAGCTGCCTACAATATCTATGCAGACATCTTATGGTTATTTCCCCAAAGACTTATACAAAGACTCCCATTGACATCATGTTTCTATTAGCTAAAATATTTGAGAACATGCTTCTAATTGGTGTTCTCGTTAGTTGTATTGCATAGGAGGCAGCTGGGCATGTGTCAGTCAATTTAACTATTAGCTGAAGCAAATAGAACTAAATAGACGCTATGTTACTCTTGCTCTTTTATGGATTAGTACTAAACCAGAGCTACAAAGCCATCCTTATTAATAAGAAAAGAAAAACAGACATATGGTGGACTAAAGGATATTGTTTGTACAGACAGACTTTGAACAACATTCACTAAGTATAATGTGACCTATTAAAGTTCTCTCACACAGTTATTTATTGCTTTACCCTGCATGTAGTTACTGAGATGCTTAATTTTCTTCATATGAGCAACTTGCAGTTCAAAACTAAAGACTGTAATAGTAATAATGATCAAAATAATCAAAACATTATTATAAAACACTTTCTATGCAGAAGTCTGACATTGTTACAAGTACTGTGAACTATTTAATGGAAAGACAGGCCCTCTTTCAGAGAATGTATAATTGGAAAAAAAAAAAGTAATAACAGACTTCTGTAATGCCAGTAAAAATAAAAGGATTTGCAAAACACAGCAACAATTGCCTCTTTTGATGTTAATTAATTTTACGCATATCTCATATGATGCTGTATGAAGTGCTTTCATGTTTTGCCAGATAGGTCGTAATAGATGACGCAATAAGGTAACTTTACAGGACTATAAATATGTCTGTCTATAAGTAGATAGCTCAGTAAATAGATAGATAGATAGATAGATAGATAGATAGATAGATAGATAGATAGATAGATAGATAGATAGATAGATAGACTGACCTTCTCTATACATTCTAGGAGATGTAACTCCCTACTTCTCAGGAGCTGTCAACCTGTATTGAACACAGTGAGCTTTGTATGTATTTTCTAGAACACAAGGACTTTTGAATCACACCTCAGAGCAGCATCAAACCATGCATTTTAGGTGGATTATAGTAGTCATCTTGACACTCAGATGAGACGAAAACAAGTGCATTAGGGTTACACATTGCAATTACTTGTATTTGTGTACCAAATGGATCTTTTTTTTCATTCAAAAATATTTCCTTGGTCTTCAAACTTCTTCTCCTGTTAATTTGTTCATTCCTTACATTAGCATGATATCTATATCTGTAAATAACTGAAATAGAGCCTTGGAAATTAGACCTGAAACATGTACATAGATAACCTGATTACAACAGGGTAAATTTTTGATTTAGGGTTTTTTTTTTATAGTGAGCTCATCTTCAACTATCTATCAAGAGTGTGAAACTGTGAGCTGAACTAAAATTAAACAGGCATCTGCAATTTTGAAAGTCATTTCTGAAAATTGGAAATCTTTTGTGTAGTTAAGTATTGTTCCTCATCTGATTCTCTCTGCAGCATCAAAAATATATGACCAGGAAAGATAAACTTGTTGAAATAATATAAATGTGTTTAAAAATCCTTTTAAGTGAAAGACTGTTTTATTTATAGGCTTGTGGTTTAGAAAAGTTTTGTAATTTATATTTCTCTTTTTATTCCTTTATCTAGATAATACTGCAACAGTATTAACCAGAAGAAATGGTTTCCGAAGACAGGAACAGTCTGTCTTCTACTTGCCAATATTCATTGTGGACAGCGGATCACCTTCACTTAGTAGCACTAATACTCTCACTATCAGAGTCTGTGATTGTGATGCAGATGGTATTGCTCAGTCATGCAATGCAGAAGCATATATCTTGCCTGCAGGACTTAGCACTGGAGCCCTGATTGCAATATTGGCTTGTGTATTGACACTGCTAGGTATGTTATTTTCCTGTTACCTCTATTTTCCATTCAATGTATAGTAGTGATAAAGAGATAGATAGATAGATAGATAGATAGATAGATAGATAGATAGATAGATAGATAGATAGATGTGTACAAAAGCTTCAACACTGCTTCCTCCTCCTCCCCCACCTGATTTCTGTAAACCGGGACACCTAGGATTCCAGGCAGACCAGCATTTTTTATCATGAGGCACACAAATTTTTAATTTGGGATTTTCCAGTTCAGATACTTTGTTCACATATCAAACTGCCTCCAGACATATATATATGAAGTAATAGTAAATGAAAAACAAAGATCACTTGCATCAAATGTCATGTTTAAGAGATAGAGTGTTTGGATTAGCATACTTACTGTATCAGCGGTACCAGTATGTGTCCTTTTTTTCAGAGGAGATGCAGCTATTTATTTTTTAACTTTTATTGATTTATATAGAGCAAATGACATCCAGAAAATACAACAGAGGTAATTCACTAAAGGAAATAATATATAGCTGATTATCTTCCACAGAATGACCTTTCCTTAGTTCTGCAGCTGGCAGCAGTGGGGTTTTATGTTGTTTAATTAGATAATAGACACTGGAAAATAGTGGAATAGAGTCAACATTCTAGTTTTGTTAACATTTCTTATCCCATGCTCAGCCTTTAAGCAACATGACTGCATGGTAGTAACAAAGGCCCAAATTAGAAGTAAAGACGAAGGATCATCCTGCATCTACAGGATGCAGTTGAGTAAAAGTGCAGCTTTCCTTATTGTTGGAAAGTTCACATGTTAACAAGAGTACCAGTTCAGCACACAATAGTTCTTTGAGTGTTATTATTAGTAGAGAGATTTTTGTATTCCATGGCAGTAAATACCAGTCTAAGGGAAAAGAGTATACCAGAGTCTCCTCAGGTTGGTATAACCCCAGGGGTGATTTATCTGTCACTGTTACTGAAGTAATTTGAATAGGTCAAATCAAGAGACTTTTGTCCACACTCCTATTCATGGCATTATCTCATCAATGTATAAATATCTCTTCTTATTGACTTTGATTCACCTTTCTGTGAGTTATTGGAAGGAAATTTCTCTTCGGCTACAAACATTTCTAAAAGAGACAGAAAAAGAAATCCTCTTGCATTGTTGTTACAGAGTGAGAAAAATCATTACTTCTGCATTGAACCCAGCCAACTTACTCAGGAGCTATGTATAAGCAATGGCATTTACAGAGTTTTCCATCTTTGTGACAAAAACCCCTAACAGCAAAAGATTGTTTAAACTCACTCAAGACATGGTTAGGCTTAGGTTTAAGGAGAAATGGAAGGGAATGATTGCCAAAAGTTTTAATGAATATTTTTAAATGCCATATTTCTAGTAACATTTCTAGGCCATTTATACAAATAAACTTTATTTGGACATGAAACTAAATGATAAATTTTGAAAAAATGTACAAGAGATCCTCTTATATCAACTGGCATAGGCATCAGTAGTAAAACTTTGGTCTAATGTACGAAAAATTCTGTAACAGTAGCAATTCAATGCATCCCAAATTGAAGCATCATCATTTCTGTCATATACATAGAAAGAGAGTTTACAAAGATTATAAATGGTTGTAGATGCAATGCAGCCTGGCCTGGCAGTAAGCTTTTCTTAAATAGAAGCCATAAAGTCTTAAAGAAGACAACTGAGTGGAGACACAGTATGTTACCAGGCAATAATTGGCTTATTCTACTCTTTAAACCAGGATTCAAACACAACAAATAAATCAAGAAACTTGAGGTTTTGTTCTGGTCATTTTTTGTGTGCTGAAGAAGCTTTTCATAAAGAATTGAGGAAAAGCTTTTTGAATAATGGGCTGTGCACTGTCGAGGAATCTTGCATATGACCAATTCACCATTGATTTTATTTGTCAAAGAATTGGACTTCGAAACTCAGCTCTCTGAATGCGTCACCATTGTTTATTCAAATAGACATTTGTATGTGCTGTCATCACTTCCAATATAAACTGCTCCTTTTGGGTAAAATTCAAAGCTGCAGGCAGTTTAATCAGTGTTTGTATGTTAACCCTGGCTTTGAGTCCTGCATTTTGGTTCTTGCATCCTGCTGCTATATTTTTCCTAGCCAGGTGCCAAGGAAGAAGTGCCTAAGCATCACTGTTGCCCAGTAAAATCAGTCAAATGTTGTTGCTTGTCTGGTCCCAAAGCCTTTCTTCTTCTCTCATTTGTTCCTAGATACATTTTCTGGGATCAGCTGAATGCTGAATGCTTTCTCCTTTTATTATTTTTTTTTAATCTTCACATATATATTCTTGAAAAAATAATCCTGAAAATCCAGTAGCACATCATAAAAAACAGGTTTCAGCTATTGGCAAGTGATTGGAGAGCTGGGACCAAGGGTGCAAGAGTTTATCAGTGACAAATGGAGACAGGCTACCAAATTGAAATTTTTTTTCTGGCCCAAGGTTCACACGCAGCACAAATCCAGTCATGTTCGTCACTGTGAGCGCCAATTGTAAAGCAGAGGAGGCATGAGATTTACATAAATATCATGGATACATGCGTTCTGGCACTGGTATCTTGAATTCTTAGCAAGCTCTTATATTCCTAAAGTTAGTATGATGTGGTTTGGTATTTTTTCTTGCCCCAAACATCCTTTTGTCTAAAAAATAACCGTTTGTCTTGACCAAGAGTCAGATTGTCTCAGGGGGATTTCTTAGTGTTATTATTTTTACTTAAGCAACTTATCAATTTTAGTTAAACACAATGTTTTCACTAATGCTAAGAAAGAAGAACGTTACTAAATCACACTGATTCATTATAATTGCATATAACATGGTGTAGACTAATTTTTCAAACTAAAATAATTTTTAAAAGTTAAAAACATTTTACCAAAATTTTTCTCTCCTCATATTGACTATGGAGATTAAATTCTAAATTTTATTCCACAAAAAAGTTGCAGTGCTTTGTTAATTACTCAAAACTGCTTTATAATTATTCAGTCTGCAAGTGCAGTTATGTTTTAAAGACAAAAACTAAAAAAAATATAAATAAATTCTTTCAATTTATTCCATAAAAAAGCATATGAAAAGGTAGGTTTTATTCATTTTAGACTGTATATAATTTTAGAGAATTAAGTAGAAATTTTCTTAACTCCTCTGAAAATTATATAATAATTTAAGTCAAGGTAATTTGTTTTTTTCCAGTTAACATCTTCCAGACATGATAATTGCTTTTGTAACAAGTGTTTAGCATAAAATGTGTACATAAAATCACACAGAAAAGAATGTTCACCTGTAGATAGCCCAATTCTATTTGAGAGGTTAAAGATTTTCTTTGCATTGAAACAATGATAAGCTAGATTGCCATAATGTTTTTCTCACAATTTTTATTTTGCATACTTCTAGATATAATCTGCTATTACTTATTTTCTTAAAAACACCAAAGAAAGCCTCATATCAGTGTGATACTAGAATTTGCAATATAATAATATTTTAGTTAATGAATACATAAATAATAATATATTGATTAAAATTCAAAATATAGATTTTTTCAGTTGAAGGATGGGGAATTGAGTATCACAATACCTACAAGAACACAAATTAGCACACATAATTGTGTGATTCATAAACAAGAAGAAATCGTCTTAGTTATAAGGATGTTATTCTCTAAATAAGTAAAATGTGTACAGAATGTGACTATGTAGGATGCATGGGTTTTGGTCTTGCATTTTAAAGAATGATAAATATATAACTCTTTTAATTTAGGGGTATCCAAATTAAGTCATTTAAAAGGTGGTTGAGTAAGCAGTGCTGATGCTGTTTTCTGAAAGTTATGGAGCTGATTAGGGTCACTCAGTGTAGGCATTTAAAGGTCACAGTCTCTTTGCAAATATCAATCCAAACTGATTACACAACAGTTAGATATGAAGCTTATTAACAGAATTAAATGCAGGTTTCCTGAGACTTGGCCTCTGTAATCCCCAAATCTCATCTGACTACAGGCAACTGCAAGGTATAACTAAATAGGTTATTAGAGTGCCGCTTCGATGACTGAGGATCTGCAGTCTTCAGATTAATGAATCATAACACACCTAAGGCACAAACCAATGTGCATATTTGCTCATAGCTGATGTGGCTTATTGCTATAGTAAATACCAGGCTTAGGGGTGTAGCATGTACCTGGCATGATAATGCTTGTGATTTAGCTTTGTCCCTTACTGTATAGCTGTATGTCGTATTCTCCCTCAGGTTATCTCAGGGCTTTTATGGCTTCCTTATAATTATGTTGCAGTTGCCTTGGATACAAAAGGAAAGATTAATACCAAAACAGAGAAATATGCTCAGGTGGCTTAAACCTGACTTTTCACCAGATCATACAAAATAGAAGTTTCATAATAATTCCATAAAGCCCACTGTAAAATAGCAAACTAAAAAGGTGCTCTTGTATTCAGAAGTGTTTGTTTAAAGACTGATTTAGGTGAACGGAACTACTGATACTGTCACTACTTCTATACTGACACAAGGATGAAAAATACATATTAGCACAGCTAATATAAACACAAATGACATTTTCTCTTGGCTATTTTACCTGTTTTTAAAAAAAAAAAAAATCAACATTTCTAACAATTCAGATGTAAATCAGAACAAAAAGGTTAGTTTTGATCTATCTCTATTAGTTCTGTATATTTAGTGCTTATAATTATTTCTAATGTTGATTGGTTTATTCATTTGTTAAAATCACATATGAAATCAATATTGCCATTTCATCTATTTAGCATGAGTTCTGTGCATCAGTATGGACCCAAACTAGTAGCCTCAATGTGCAATGCATGTGTCCCTTAAGCTTTTCCATTTTTCCATTCATACCTCAGTGGCATGGTTTAGGGAGGACTTGGCAGTCCTGGGGTAATGGTTGGACTTGATCTTGAAGGTCTTTTCCAGCATACTTGATTCTATAACTGCATTATTTTGTCTGTAAAAAAGCATAAGATCTGGTTTTCTAGATGTTCAATTAGTGAATAATTACAGATTTAATCTCTGCTCTTGTGATAAATGTAGGGGATCTCCCTCCCCCTTTCTCCCCCCCCCCCCCATCATTATTTAATAAAAAATGGATAAGCTTTAAAAACATTTGCACTTGATTTAGATATCGGTGAAATTTGTCTGGGGCTTGTATTCAAATCCACAAGTCCTGCAATGCAGCTAAATCTTTGTTTAGAGGTTAAACTTTCCTGTTCATAACTGCTGGAAAGACTAGAAATTAATATTCCCATAAAGCCATCTAAATACTGAAATATTTAACCTTTAGAAAGATTCCATATTTTTCTTGGCTTTAAGCAACTGTGAGATGTAAAAGGAATACTGTATAAATCTTTCATAGTGTCTTGATTTTTATTGTACCTTTAGGCAAACCTGCCTATTAAATTTCATATTTTTCACTTATTAGCAGTTATTTAACTTTCAAAATGAAGCATGTTAAGAGTGTGTTAGGAGAGACAGTGGTGTGAAAAAAGCATTTACACTTGAGTAAAGGAAATTATTAATAGTAATTAAAAAGTTATGTCAATGGCAATCTTGGCTGAAATGTATATTTACTGTCAGCAAGCTAATTTGTCTTTAACTTTAAAATATATCATATACTAAAGAAAAACAATAAGAGTAGAGTGCAATTGTTGCCTCTAAGATGACAGTTTTATGTTCACTGCTGTATAATTTACAGCTCAATTTGTATTATAGAAATATCAGAATGTTATGAAATTTCATGAAAGCCACTTTGAAGGTCAAAAACTGATCTTGTCAAACTGCTTATGTAAATATTGTTCAAATATACAAAACCCAAAATGCTCCAAACTAGCAGCTTTTGAATTTAATACATAAAGCATGAATCAGGGAGATGCCAGGGGCAAAAAAAGTGAAAGAGTGATGCTGATGCTGCAGTAATAAAGTCACAAGGCATCTGTTAGTAGATGGATCATTAGATGTGTCCCTGGTAGCTACTGAAAAAAAGGGGGAAAAATATTGCCTAATATATTTGTCAAAAAGTTTAGAAAAAAAAAAATAAATTTTTCCAGTGTTATTTTTAGACATGATTAGCTCCAAAGAAAAATAAGAAGGATTGCAGAAAGTCTACCCTTAAAATCACCTTATGCTTTAGTCAGTTCTAAGTAGTACTGCAATGTCTATAGAGAGTTTTCTGCATGTACAATTTCTGATTGACTGTTTTATTCTAACCAAGTGATCCTAATATTAAATCATGTCTTCAGGTGACTTAGATTGATATTGATTTTAAAAATTCTTCTATGAAAAGAAGGGTTTTCAAGAATGGCAGTCTTATACAATTTATGGAGGCCACTTCTGAGACTACCTAGGGAAGCTCATGCTTAAATTTATCTGTATCAGCTTTTGCTTTTCCAGATGTTTCTACAGCATTCGTCATTTCAAAATTCTATAAGGATTGTAAACCTTAGACATATGAATGCATATAATCACATATACTTAAGATTAAAAATAAACATAAAATCAGATAAGAATAATTGAATGTGGGATAACACTTTTCAACGTACTGTTATGTTTACAGCCATAGTGATGCCTGTTGTTATCTAGGAGTATCATTAAGTCAGTGGATGCCCAGATGCTACAGTATAGTATTAATCATTTTCTAGGACGATGGTTCACATTCCATCATGTTCCACAGATGGGTGCAATTATCATGTTACTGGTTCCATATTTTTTCTGTCAGCAATGATGTTTCTCTACCAAAACTGTATTTGAACTAGAGGAGCCTTGAGTTAGTTTCTCCCAGTTCTTTTGGCTGTCACTGCAGTTTAGTACTAGATTGCAAAACTGAATGAAACTTTAGGGATTAAAACAAACAAACAAACAAATTACATTTCTAGCATTGGCTGATCCAATAAAATCCAGCCCCAGCAGTTCTTATTAGATGTAATTCATAAACCTCAAGTACAGTACTTTGCACTATACAGGAAAGTGAGGTCTTATATAGAGATACTTTCAATCCGTGAGCTGACAGTTTTATTTTACATATTGCTTAACAATTCAATGTTCTCCAATCTATGATTTCACAGAGATTGACCATATACTTTAATACAGGCACTTCCCAAACCATGGCTGTTAAATTCTATTCAGGTACTTTATGAATGTGCTTTTATCACTTGGGCAATTAAGAGTTCAGGAAAAGGTCTTTTTTTTATTTTATTTTATTTCATGACTGTGAGACTGTAATAATCAGACTGAATCAGTCCTAAAGATTATGTTTAGTGGACAGCATAGGATATAGAATTAGAGATGAAGATGCTAATTCAGAGTGGTTTCAGAAAGAGATTCTTTAATGTCTAAAAAGCTTATGGTTTAAAAGCTGATTCATGATCTCCTAGGTTTCATATCTAACTGCATAAATTGCCTGTTATTTCCTTGGGTCTTTGCCATATAGATTAATGAGTACTTGCACCACTGGGACAAATATGAGGAAACTTTAACACTGCTGAAACTCTAGTTTTTCTGTATTCCAGTTCTTGTCTTGCTGATTGTCACCATGAGGCGACGGAAAAAGGAGCCCCTCATTTTTGATGAAGAGAGAGATATCAGAGAGAATATTGTCAGGTATGACGATGAGGGTGGTGGAGAAGAAGACACTGAGGCTTTTGACATGGCTGCCTTGAGAAACCTCAACATCATCCGAGACACCAAGACCAGAAGGGATGTGACACCTGAGATTCAGTTCCTGAGCAGACCAACTTTTAAAAGCATTCCAGATAATGTCATTTTTAGGGAATTTATCTGGGAAAGACTAAAAGAAGCTGACATGGACCCTTGCGCGCCGCCTTACGACTCTCTGCAGACATATGCATTTGAGGGGAATGGCTCAGTGGCAGAGTCTCTCAGTTCTTTAGATTCTATAAGCTCAAACTCTGACCAGAACTATGATTACCTCAGTGACTGGGGCCCTCGCTTCAAAAGGCTTGCAGATATGTATGGGACTGGACCAGAATGCTTATACTCATAGCCTTGGAACCTATCTCTGAAAATGCACTGAAGAATAGTAAAACAGAAAACTTAACCTTACAGACTAAAGAAAAGTTGTAAATATTTCTCCATTTTTAAACTTTTAGGTTTTTTTGCCTTGGTGGAACATATCTTCATTAGAGTTGTCCTGGGGACTGCACTGACCACACAAAATATGAGAATTCAGTGGCATTTTTGATAAAATGAAATGCTCAGCCACGTTCAAATAGATAGCAACCCTCAGATACCTGCAGAGGCAGCTCACTTTCAAGAGTATATTTTGCACTGTGAACTCAACGAAAAATGGTACTCTGTAGATGCCTTTACAGTATTGCTGTATCTAGCACGCAGTGTCTCTGTTAGGAGATAAGTGTAAGAAGAAACAAATTTACAAATACAATATATAATTCAATGCAACATCACAGTATATAGTATTTATGGATGCAAGAGTTTTTAAGAAATTTTCTTTACAGTATTGCATGTAGCTTGCTATGATGAAAGCAGAAGGGCAAACATTAAAACAAACAGAAAGCCAGTAGATCATCTTTTTGCTTCTCCCTGTTTATTCTCAGAGATATTCAATCAGAAGTTTCTGTCATTTTCTGAGCAGTTTTATGGAAAATTGCTCTTTGTACTGAGAATTTCCACAATGTTTGTCATCAACATACCAAAGTAGTTTGCAAACCACATAAAATGAGAAATATGGAGGGGTATTCTTATGGTTGAAAAGTTTAGTGATGCCTATGTAGGTATAGAAAAGATGTTGCTATCTATTTGCTATTTTTTATTATCTCTTCTGATTTGTACAGGAGAATTTATCCTTTTTTATTATTATTTGACATAAAGCGTTATATTTATTTTGGAGCTCCAATTTTCACTAAATTCAGGTCCATTCTACTGCCTCATGGTGTTAGACTCATCAGAACACGCTGATTTTTTTCCAGTCTCAGATAAATGTAGGAAACGAAGCATGGAAATGGAGAAATTACAGTAAAGCAATCTTGCCCACCATTCATCTCTCAGAAAGGAGAGCATCTCCAAGGACATGCAGTTTATCTTCTGAGCCATTAAATAGTCTGAGATGTTTAAATAAAATATTTGTACATGAATTTTTTTTGAAAGAAGGCTACAGAGGTAGCCGGGAGTGTCTTTAATGCAAGATTTAATTTTCAAAGTTAAACATGCTACATGCTTCAAAGACTGTAAACACCTTGCTTTTTGATTCCCCGTCTCTTTTGTTGCTGAGGAATCACAGTAAAAGACTCTTCAATTTCCTTCTTATGTTAAGCAATGCAATGCTATTAACTCCAGAATGCATCTTTAGATCCTGCTACACATAAGTATTCTTCCCCGAAGGTAACTCACTACACATAATTTCTACGCTGGTTCAGGAGTGCCAAAACAGAAGGACAGCTGCTGTTGGTTAAAATGCTGTACAATTTTGAAGTAGGATTTCTTAGAATAATACAACTTTTTTATGATTCTGACAGTATTTATACTTCACCTTTCATGATTTATTACTAGATAAGGCATATATTCAAGTAAAATAGTGGGTTTAAGTATTATTTCAGATGGATTTGGTTTAGATAATCTGTAGATGAGTTCTTAAATTAGACTCTGCTCCTGCAAACATTTTTGCTTGTACCGAACTTGAAATGACTTGACTTGCCTGCAATTACTGAGAGGCATACAGAATTGCTTGCAGGACTGTGCTTGTGAATAGAAGGTACTCCATAGAGGATGATGCTCACTCTAAAAGTACTTCTTTCTGAAATGAAGGATCCTTGTAATGAAATCCTAATGTATGGTTGACACCAGGCTGGAAGATGGGAAATTATCATTAAGGCTTTGTAATTTTTGCAGCGCAGCATTATCAGTTAACTGTGTGAAAGTGGCCTTCAGCTCCATCAGAGAAAACAAAATATTTTTTAACATCTGCGGCAGATTTAATTTGAGTTAAATTTTCGTAGACAATCATTGTTTCATAATTCAGTAGATTTGCTTCTAGTTGTATTAAATATATATATATAAGTATATATATATATATATGACAGATTTTGTAATGGAACTGAAAGATATTGCCCATGACTTTTAGTCATACATGTAAGATTTTCAATAAAAAAAAAATAAAAAAAAAGCATGTGTAAGCAGTTTAATGAGAGCAAGATATGCTGCAGGAGTTAAGCAGGTATTAAATCAGCAAGGTGCTGAGAGAACAATTTTTTATTAATCTCCTTGTTGTTTGTCGGAAGATAATTCATGCATCTGGATTAAGATGTCAAAAATGCTGATTTAAGCTTATAGCACTCAAAGGAGATCTAAATGTGGTTTAGAATAAACAGCACAATTCCCTTGCTTTTCTACCTTCTATATCTGTCAAAACTCCAAGAAGCTCCCATGTTAAGAAATTGTGTTAGGGATTTTTGGGGATGTATTTTCATAGAAAGGAATATGCTTTAATGCCACAAAAGCTCTTGCATATACAGGGTGTTTGTTACACAGTTCTAAAATAATCAAGTATATTTGTTATTCCTTTATATATGCTTACATACTGATTATATTATTGCAGTAAGAAAGAACAATCCCTTACACTCAATGAAAGCTGTTACTGTAATATATACTTATGGTATGCATAATACACATACTATACAATACTCTTCATACACTACCATGAGTATAGGTTTTCACAGTTGATAAGCTGATTCAAATTCTTTCTTTGAGTGATTTTTATATTACATATTCTGATGTTATAAAGTGTATTTTACTGACTAAATAGAGTAAAATATGAGACATATTGTCTCTGTCCTAGAAATGTTATGAAATATTTTAAGCAAATTAATTAGAAAGGCCTTTTAAAAAGACTTATTTTATTTATTTAACTTTCTGAATAGCTCCAGTATCTAACCAGAGGCCCCAAGTACTCCTTAAAAAGTATGTCAAACCTTGCAACCACTCCCATCTTATAAAGCAATGCCAATGCCTCTTTCCTTCCACCATATGACAGTTGAAGAGATTTATTTTAAATTCAGATTCCCAAGAACCTTGGAAAGTATATAGTTTTATGAGTGCCACTAAAAAATCCATATAAATTTGACCCATTTGAAGAAGATTTAAGGCAAGAATCCTTATTCTGCTTTGACCAGTATAAAATCTACTGAGTTCAACAGGGTTGAACAGCGGACATTCTGACTTACATATTTTATTTGAAAGAATAAACTTACTGTAGCTTATTAAGCTATATCCCTGCTAAGATATAATACAGGTCTTTCTAAACCTACAATTCTGATGCCTGGGTTAACTCAGTCACTGCAGGACTCATGAAACTAATGGCACTATCTGAAACCTCTCCTTCTCTAGAATGAAAAAGGGAAGGGACGGTGGAGGGGGAGGGAATGCTTCCTTCTTTTCCTTTATATCCTACAAGAGTACTTGTCCATAAAGATAAGATGCTGCCATTTTGTATATCCTAATATGCTCTCATCCAAAATCTCTAAACACAAAAAAAAGGGCAGGTAATATTTTGCTATTGAGTGACAATACCTGAAGGGTAAATAGAATAAAATAACTGTAAAAAGACCACCCCCCTCCACACAACAAAGATAACAAGTAAATAGGAAAGATGAACGCAATTACCTATATAAAATCTAGTCTTAAATTATTGGTTGCAGCCTACCATGTGGCAGATTTTATTTTTATATATGTAGAATTTCTGTCTACTTCAAAATAAATGTAGAGTAATTATGGTTTCAGATGATATTGGTACTTCATTAGTGATAGATGGGGTCAAGTGTGTTTTTACTGATCTGAGACTTGCACAAATGAATTGCAAAAGATAGAAATGTAATTTTATTTATCTGACAGAAACAGGAAAGTCTACAAGACAACCAGAGATCTGCAAGTTGTAGTCTTAAGTATGGGTTCACCAAGTTTTCCATACATATATGTATATATATATTTATATCTAAGTTTTCTGAATACATCTTAAGATATACTTACATCCCAGTATCATTTTTTCCACACCAAGAATTCTTCCTTTGCTCAGTATCAACACAGCTACAGAAGTGTTGTATTGTTCACAAAAAAACTTTTTTTATAGATATCTACCCATAGTTTTGTTCTTCTAAGAGAAACCCAGCACATAACAGGAATAATTTATTTCCTAGATAAAGGAAATGGAAAAATATATTCACATTTGGATGTTGTACTTTGCTTTGTGTTTATCATTTCTCACAAAAGAGAAAAAAATCTTTCAAGGTGGTACATAAATCTGTGAAACCTTAGACCATAGAATTTCAGACAGAAATATACTGGTTGAAAAAACTTGTTTTACCTAGGTATTATATGACACAAGTTTTCCTGGAATCTTTCTGGTTTTAATAAAAAAAAAAAAAGGCAGAAAACGGCATAGGAATTTCTTGGAAATCAGCGCAAAATCTGACCTGAAGCCACAGTGTTATATCATATACATCCTTCTGCTCTTATCTCATATGTGAACATGTATTTCCTAAAACTATATGTATATCTCAACATTCCACCCACCTACTATTTATTTTAAAATACTATATATAACTAGAGAGTATTAGAAAAAAAAAATTAACCCTACTATCAAAAACTTTGTTTATCCTTATTAATGTCTGATGTAGAAAAATACAGTTCATACTCAAGCAAAACTTCTAAGAAAGATTGGTGTTTAATATTTTGTTGGTTAACTAAAGTCATAAACCTGTTGTGCATCATAGCAGCCACCTGAATGCTAAACCAGGAGTAGAAAAAAAGTCAATTATAAATTCTCCTTCTACTCCCCATCATCCCTGCCAAAGTTAGAATTTCTTTTCATTGTACCTCAAAGCAAACTCTTGTGTCTAAGTTAGACATAGTGAGGAATTAGATCTTAGACTCCTTCTCAGAAAAGCTTTAAATCTATTTACTAGGTTATTCCTGTATGAGGATGTCTTGACTCCTTCTAAGCTATGTTACCAGAGACGTGTGACATTGTTTGGGTTTTGGTGTTTTTTTTTGTCTGTGTTTTTTGGGCTTTTTTTTTATTTTATATATCGTTA